ATTTGAACAATGGCTTGATATTGTTCATTATTAAGATCCTTACACATGCTCTGCAAGGTTTTTGTGATGCTTAGGGTAGTGAGCATTGGCAATTTTAAGTTGTGTGCTTTGTGTTCTTAAAAGTTTTAGATGACAAACCTCTTTTGTTAAAAACAAAAACTTTTTAAAACCTTTAACTCGATTTGAAGATATTTTTTGAATGTCCCTTTTTATTTTGATGTTTTCTTATATTTTAAATTGTGGGTCATGAAAAAAGGCCTGCAAGTTTAATTGTAAATATATATAATTTGAAATGCACTGTATTCTCTTCACCTTGATGACCAAAACCAATTCATTAAGAAAGCTATTTACAGCCTAGACAAAACAGCTTACACCTTGTACTTATAAATAAACAAACTAAATTGAAAACAACAAAACAACTAACATAATCAAACCTGAAATTATCACTGAATACCCATTTCTAAACATTAGTTTGTTTAAAGGCCACATTTATGAACTGTTGTAAGGTGTTCCTTTTTTTATTTGAACACGTTTTTTCATTAACTTTTAAAGGGTGTCTTTTACATGGTAAAGTTACACTACTGTCTTATGGTATGTATGTAAATTCTTTTAAAACAGGTGTATTCATAAGCACATGTCCCAATTCAGAAGCATGTTGTTTAGTGGGTTTTTTTTGTGCAGTTCATATTTGCTTTTTGTTTCTGGTTTGAAGTTAAATTAGATTTGATTTTTCCTGTTTCAATTGTTTTATAACAGTGTCTTGGGGCCCCTAGTAGGATGCAGTTCAATGTGAGCCAAGCCTTTGTGTTGAAGGCTGTATTATAACCTATAATTGCTTACTTTGACTACACTGTGTCTTGATGGAGAGTTGTCTCATAGGTATTCCTACCACATTTAACAAATCCATTAGAATAATCTAAATATTGAAATGGAACTGAAGTTGCCTTGTAGGTTTCTTATATTGACCTATCCTTTTTCTCTCGTGCTGGATAGTTTTATACTAGTCATTTGGGGGCACTGTATAGCCTACTGATCACTGAGATGGCTTGTATTGAAAGAAAAAATGTAACCTGTAAAATTTTGCTTAATTGTATCACATTGTGTCTTGAAAGGGAGTTGTGTCATTGACATTCATACCACATCTTCTGATTTTTATATTGAAGCAGTTTTGAATGAAAAAAATCATTGATTTCCAATATTGAATTTTTTTTTAACTCAAATTAGTCCATACTAAAGAAACTAATTCCTCAATTATATATGTCATACAATGTCATGTTTCTTGCTGCTTCGATGTTAAAGTGAAAGAAATCGTCAATGCAAACAACAAAGCAATTTAATACCAATAATATTTTATTTTAAACAAACATGGCAAGATCATTTTAGAGAAAATACAAAAGCTCAGGCACTACAAAATAATAAAGTTTTATATAACTTTTCAAAATTAAGAATCTCTTTCAAATATTCAGACACTTACAATGTATCAATTTATATGCAATGATACTACTTGAACAAATTTTGATTTTGAAACTTGAAGTTAATTGGGAAAGTGTTTAAGTAAGAAATTGGCTAAGATATTGAATTTTTTAACTGGTTATGAAATCCTTTTCTCTGACAGATTAATCATAATTAAGGACAACAAAAATCATGTCTGCATGTACATGTATTAAGAACTCAGATATGTGTTATGTTTATAATACCATACTAGTGTGCTAGTTAATACTATTTAAACAAAACTGTTTCTATTCTAATTTAAGTTCCCTACCAACAGAGGCATGAACTATACATTGTATCAGTTTTTTTTTGTGTATGTGGTTTGTTTATATTTTCATAAATTTATATTTCCCATTGTTTATGTTTGTACATATCTGTATATCAGATTTTTTAGAGCTGCAACCAAAAGTTTCAAAGCCTCGCTTAAGTCTAAAAATATATTGAGTATGCATTGACAAATTATGTCAATTGTTTTGGCGATATTTTTGTATGTTCCAAAAAGGACATACGATTTGTCAAGTGGGATTTTCTCTGGTATATTACCTAAAATGTTTTCATCTAGTTCCCACCCTAAATGTAAATCAATTGTAGATGTTACCCAATTATTTCCATGCATACAGGCAACAAATATAAGGCTAAGCTATTTGACTATCTTTTTTGAAGTACGACAGTTTGTAAATTTTTATTACAGATCGAAAATGTAAACACGGAAGTGTCATGATGTGATTAAAAACACATGTTCCGGATATGGCCCCGAAATTTTCCGCAATTCCTCGATACGTAAAATTTGTTTCAGAAAGTAATTTTTGGATTATGAAGTTCCAAAAACACGGAAAACATATAAAATATCAAAAAAAGTAATGATAAATCAAAAAATCAAAACACAAAAAGTCAAAATACATTACCCAATAAACAGACAGACAAAACTTTTTTTTTTTGAGTCTGGTTTATATTGTCAAAAATGTCAAATCTGTGCTTTTCACCATCTGTGTCTGTCCCATAAACATGACCATTAAAGTACCAAGCACTAGTGATACTTTCGTGTAGATGCATTCTATTAATCAGACCTTGGTTCTTTTGTGTTATGTTATCTCCTATTTTAATTTCTATGCTCTTTTGTAGATCTTTTCGTTTCTTGAGAATAGCTATTTTATTTTCCATACGCAGGAATTTTACGATAACTGGTCTTGGGTAACCATGTTTTCCAGGAATGCCTTGCATAACTACAATGTCTGTTTTGTTTAGATTTATTCCTACCTTGTCCTTTAATGTAGTTATCAATTCTGGTATTAATTGTTCACCTCGTCTTTCTTGTAAGTTGTGTATCTTTATGTTTTTCTTACGGGAATATTGCTCATTCCAATTTGCCATATGAACCCCTTCTGTTACCCCTATTTCTATTTGTTTTATCTCTTCTGTCATCTTTCTGAGTTCTTTATGCAGAGCAGCATTTTTTTCAAGTAAATTTGCATTATCAAAATCTATGGAGTCCATTTTCCTGCGAACCATCTCAAATTTCTTATCATGACACTCCTTCATCTTTACCCTTTCTTTGTTTACCTCTTCAAGTATCTCTTTTTTTATTTCTGTTTTCCATTTATTTAGTAATTTTCCCATAATATTGGTGACAATTTCCTCAATATCATCTTTTTTAACTATTTTATCCATGGATTTTCTTTTATCTTACCTCCTATATATTTCTAGGAATATGACTGGTTAAAAGCGTCCGCGTGGAGACCGTGTATATTCCATATTATGTTAGTAGGGAGGCGGGGCTTATTTCATACACGGTTAGTAGTGGTGTTACGTCCCTTTATAAAAACAAAACGGTACTGAGAAAAAAATCTTAAAGGTTTCAACAGACGAAGAAATTGATGATGAAGATTAAAATAAATTTATAAAACACATTTAAACCTAACAAGTTGTTATTGTTGGCATCTATTTTTGTAGGATCAATGTAAGTAGTTTCTTAATGCTAACGGTATTGAATACTTGCTCATTTTGATAGGTCACTAGTTTAAATTTCACACGTTAAGATAGTCGGAAAGATAAATTCGTACCATAGTGTGCTAGCTACGTAATACGGTATATATGGGGTCAGTAAATTCCATATGGGGATTCGAGCTTCGCTCTCACCCCATATGGAATTTACTGACCCCATATATACCGTATTAGGTCACTAGCACACTATGTAACTAATAATGTCTTCTAATTCCCTCTATACATATAGAGTGATCTGAGCTATCTGATATGCATGTACGTGGACGTTTATTTGGGTTACATTTGTCACTTGTATTTGTATTGTTCAAATAGAATACTGATTCAGTTGTGTCTACTTTATCTGTTGCATTATCATTACAGTTTTTCAATTTTCCCACAGACGCTTTGGACACAAAACTTGTAATTTGAGATTGCGACATCATCGATAAGTCGAGTGCACCCTAACTGATTTGTAATAATGTCTATTGCCAGGTGTGTTCTGTTCAAAAGTCTTTTATTTCCCTACCTCCGTCTCCAATACATATGAATAACTATAGATCATCTATACGAAGCACATTTCCTACAGTTTAAATGACAAAAATATCTCTTAAAATGCAAAACTGGCACAAAAATGTAGGACCAATCTACCTACGTCGGTTCATGGCCGCCACCCACTAAAACTAAATTTGGGCCATTAGTTAGAACATTTTCGACGACGGACGACATACAAATAAGGACGCAAAGTGATGGCAAAAGCTTACATGTTTTTTTATGACAGGTGAGCTTAAAAGAAATTAACACGAAAATGTCAATATTACAGAAATTATATATATATATATATATATATATATATATATATATATATTTGTTTGCCAAAAAACCCTTTTCATTTTCATATTTAGATATGCTTTGTGTATAAATACTTGTGGATATTTTAGGCATTGTCAGTTTGTTTTCGACTTACAAGTTTGAATATCTTTTTGGTATCTTTCGCCAATCTTTTATGCATTAACTACAAGTGTAGTAAATCCAAGTGGCTATTACTGCACGATATTATGTCAGAGTCTTGGTTTTTTCTAGACCTTATAAAGGAACTTGTCCCAGCTCATATGTTCTGGAGTTCATAATATACACAGAAATAAAAGCCATGTACATTGCATCAACACTACAAGTCTTATATCTTAAAATAGATATGTGAATTTGTTTTGGAATAATAAAATATGCATACTTATTTCCGCCCAGTATGTTGAAACCCTACTAACCATTTCCAACGGAACAGGAGTAGGATTATTCAACCTATGGCATTTGTCAAATGTTTATAATATATAAATCTGCTGTAAACGGTATATCGTATTAAAAGGATTTTGCAGGTTTTCTGACTTCGTCCCCTTTCACAGGTTACACCTGCCTCATATAATACACAGAAATAAAAACCACGTACATTGCATCAACACTACAAGTCTAAATCTTAAAATAGTTATGTGAATGTTTTTTAATAATTTTTTTAAATATGCATACTTACATTTCAGCCCAGTATGTTGAAACACTACTTACCATTTCCAACGGAACAGGAATAGGATTATTCAACCTATGGCATTTGTCAAATGTTCATTGCGGGAATGTTGATGATGGTTTTTTCCGTAGTGATATCATTGATAGATTTCACCCAGAAATTGAATGTCCTTATCTGGTAATAATCTTATTGTTTACTGGAATATTCCATTTTAATTTGATTCAATATATTTAAGTACTAGTATCATCTTTTAATAATATACAGTCCAATACTACATTATGTGTTCTCTATAGATATTAAATAGAGAGCCATATTATACTGAATTATAAGAGACTATAACCTTAAATCATTTCAACAAATTCATTTGTTATAAAAACTGTTCATAAACACCAAGAGACATATAATCAGCATTAACATGGTTGCTTCACCAAAATGGTAACATAATGGAAACGTTCAAATAACATGGACTTTATCTTTTAAAATGGTTTTACCAGTATCACACATTCGATCTCGTTCAAGTAAAAGAGAGGCGAAAGATACGAAAGTGACATTCAAACAGTCAAAAATAAACTGACAACGCCATGGATAAATATTCAAGTCTCCTTCTTTCTATTCTTAATGATGCAACACAAAATTTGGCAAAAGTATGTATAAATTGTTTTGAAATGTTACAATATGTTTAAGCTACAAAACATCTCTGAAGTTAATTATATTTTAAGATGATTTTACAACCTTTGCCTGATAGAGCTCTCTCAAATTAAAATTGCTACTGACCAAAATAGTAAATAAACATTTTTTTCACATATCCTAACGAACTATGGTAGAATTGATATATTCTGTAATGGAACACAAATCCTTTACATTGTACTCCGAGAATGTGTTCTTATATAAAAATACCATTTTTGTTTACAACCTGTAGTTTCTATTCATACATGTAATATCAGGCCATAGTAAAACCTGGCTGTTTAATCGTTTTGAACTTATATTGTTGAAACGGTACGAATTATATTATTAGGATATATCTGTTTTTTAATTTGACACACGTAAAATATTTGAAACCATTCGGAGGAAAACACTGACAAATATAAAAACACACAAAGAATAAGCAAATCATGCATACAGTCTGATGTCAATTATTACATTATCTATGATGACTTTATGCCACTTATAAATATATCAAAATAATTATTTGTACACACTTTTATGAGGGGCCTGATGGGTTATTTTCGTTCTTCGTGATCGGCGCATTTTCGCTATCGTGATCCGTTTTTCTACAGATTTACTTTTCGTGATTCGTGATGAAAGCATTGTTCGTGAATCGTTTTCATTGGAGTTTTATGTTCGTTCTTCGTGATTGAGACATATATGTCGTTCTCGTGATTCAGTTTTTTCCGTTGTTCTGGAAATAAAGAGTTCCATTGAGTTGTCTTTCTTGGCTAAAAAAGTTGAAGTGGCGCGATAGTTTTAAAAGTGCAATTAGGTCATTTCTTGTAGGAGAACGAACTGTTAATTTCCTTCGTGGACCAATGTGGCACGGAACAGGCACGGGTGGATTGAAAAATCCAGATGACGCAAAACTTAATTTTGGTGGACCCTCGTCTCACGCTCGATTAAAAAGGTCATCTGGCTATACAACAGAAAGTGGCGTTATAAAACCTTGGCTAATATCAATGCTACAGCTGGCAACCAATGATAGTAAAGTAGTTCCTTAAGTAGAATCGTCAACTGTTAAAGTAATTGGGCTTACGATGGCAAATGATGGGACTGCTCTCAAACCTAGCATACTTTATGATGAACACCAAAAGGTCAATGTTGGTCATAAGGACACGGCTAGTTTCGACCTTGTTCGAAAAAATTCGAATCCGGATCCAGATTTTCTTAGACAGAATGTTGTACAGATGCAGACATCACTTACATTTCTACAATTGACAATAATGTAAGTCTCCCTGTTGCAGTGACATACAAACCAGAATCTTGTAAAACAGGGGAAGACATTAAATCCCAGTTTCTCTACGAAGTTTGTATAGTTGAAACATGTCTCGGATGTTTGCAACAAGCGACTAGTATGCGACATATCCTACACAAGGACAGTGTTTCTCATTGTGTTAGCAGCTGCAGTGAATGCACTGAACAAGGCAAACTATGTGACGCCTGTAAAAACAATAACCATTTGAGCCATATTCCCTCAATTCGTGCATGCAATAGGTGTATTGAAAACGGTGTTCAATGTAAAAGGGGTGTTGTTCTCGTCATCACGGCAGATTGTGAACAGGGCAACAAAACGGCATTTGAATTGTTGATATCTGACCGAGAGGCTGGTATATTGGAATCAAAATATATATTTGCTGTTCTTCCTGATGCAGTGCATGTTGGCAAAAGTTTGAAAGCAAGCTTGCGAACTGGCCCATTTTGTTGGATACGCAAATATCATGTCTACCACTTGTACACACTGTTAGAGATACACATGCAGAATTGAAACGAATTTCACCCAGGGATTCGGTCACTCACAAGGATACAATGGATATCAATTGTATACTTCATTTGACGAAATCGTCTGTTCTTACATTTCTTGAATCTGTGCATGGTATAGTACACACAATAATCCCTGATAAGTACAAAATAAGTGCAAGTAACAAGGTTGGACTGTATCCACATCCGATTGCCATTACTGCTGCAAACCTAGGGACCCTATACGTTATAGATCACAATCCGAAAACTTCTTCTTCGAGATAACTCGAGATAAGACAGCATGTCCCATCCGAAGTTAAAAATTGTTGGAGAATACAGCGATGCAAGAAGTCTAGCATATATTGAGGGTACACTGTACATTTGTGAACACAACAAAACAATTTCAGTTTACCCAAAAAACACAGGAAAATTGAACTTGAAAAAACTAAAAAAAGGCGAACTTATTGAAGAAGCTAGAAAACGAGATATCCCAACAAATGGAACAGTTGCAGATTTGAAAAACAGACTAACAAACTATCTACAAAGCCTGGAAAATACTTACAGAAACGGACAATGCTATTGACACCCCAGAATGTCTTAGTTTTCTTCAAGGGACAACCAGCAGGAGTTGGAGAACAATCAGGCTCAGCAGTAAATTTTATTGACAAAATAAATATATATATACTATATAGTCTCTGAGTTTAGTCTCGAGATAAAACACAGACGTGGTTCCGTGGTATTTCACGCCAGTAAAACACTTCTATGAAATATTATATGATACAAAACAAGAAGTCAGAATGTGACTGTTTTTAACGATTTAATTTAGAACCTGGGAGAATTCAACACGTAAACAAGTAATGAGCCAGTAATGTATTTGATTGTAGCTTAATTGAACCAATCTACAACACAAACAACCAGCTTCTGAATCTCTATTATCGAGATTGATTGGGGATACTCTTTTTATATTTTCGTGATCCGTGATCATGGAAATTTATTTTCTGTGAATCGTGATTGACAAAAAAATCAACTCGTGAATCGTGATGAGACCCCCCCCCCCCATCAGGCCCCTCTTTTATCTGGTAAACACACACTCGTATAAATATTTTTAACTTTGAACAAAATAATGATTTAAGGCATACATGTATAACAGACTTACGTTGTATATAGTGACTCTGATAAAAACAAAGCAAAAATCAAAGATATGCCACCAACCCCAAATTCTCCAAATAACAAAAATAAATAAAAAAATTGACAAACAACTTCTCTCGAGGTTTCTGACCTGGGACAAGCAAATAAATACGTGGTAGAGTAAAGAAAATTTTTTGAGATCTCAATCTTTCCCTTTTTTTTACCTCAATCAGTAGATTGCCATCGACTTCATCATTTTCAATTGAATTGGACAAAATCTTAAAATTTGTAAAAATCGAAATCTGTGAAAAGAGAACGAAAATGTGCGTCCGTAAAACTTTCGAAAGTATGCCTTCAACTTTACCACTAGGAGCTCTTGATGCAAACGCTGCTTGGTAAGGTAAGCAGTTACCTTTATCAATGGAAGCATGATAGAAAACGAAAGCCTTGAAATATCGTATGAAATGGAAGATATATACTTTATATGCAGACGCTGCTACAATGTTACTACATACATATATTCTATTGAACCTCGGATGCCTCTGTTAATTCAAGTACCTCTGCTCTATAACAAAAACGACTCCAGCTTCAGCTACTCCCCTGTGTAACTCTTGTATACATTGTTTCTCACTTAAACACGTATAGATTAAAATAAAGTCATTAAATAAAGCCAACAAACCTTTGAAAAGGAATGAAATCTCTGTTAAAATACAATAAATTAATAAAGTTTCAGAAATCTTATTGCTAGAATCAGAGTGTTTTGTTTATTAAAACAGTACCTATTGTACCTTTCCATAAAAGAAATTTGTACCTTCATATCTGTACTTATATTTTGTTATAAAGGTGTTTTGATTAATCATGAATGCAAAGTTCTCTCATATTCAATATTGGCTTTAAGGTTGTGATAATTTTACATGCTAATAAAGACAAAAATTTCATTTTAGTTATATTTGAGAATGAAAACAGTAGATGGAACATACAAGAAAATGACAAAATATTTTACAAATGTCACATTAGAGAAGACTTTAGAAGGCGGTTCCATATTTGAGGTACCAGGACCGACTTTTCCATCTCCCCACGTGTCATCAATTCAGTATGTATTTATTTGAAAAATGTCCATTATATGATCGCAATACATATAGGTGTACAGTATAGGACTTCAACACAAAACAGATATGTGTAAAATAAAGTCATAATCCCAATACAAAAAGGTGTGCATTATATGATCTCTATGCAAACAGGTGTGCAGTATCTGAATCCGAAACAAACATGTGTGCAGTATGTGATCTAAATACAGACAGTAATGCATTATATTATCGCATTTCAAAACAGGTGTGCGACAGTTTTTTTTATCTTTATGCATACCATCTGTGCAATTTCTGATCTCAATACGAAAAATATGTGGTAATAGTGAAAGTATACGCAGAAAAAAGTGCGGTTCGTGTTGCACAGTCTATATAGACTAGTCCGTCTTGTTATTGTTTTTCGTTTTTTGCCATGCTTTTGCCAATTTCTCTGTAACCCCCCCTGTGATATCTTTCGCATTCTTGAAATATAATATTTCCTACCTTTATATTATACTCATCTCAATAGTTATCTATGACAAAGTCATTTCACAAATACATGGTAGTCATATCATGCATATAATTATGCAGTAAAGCATCATCTGAAAAATAAGTAAAGTTGTCTACTCTTAATTTCTTATTTTTTTTAATCTTAGCGATAGAAACTTTAAGGACCCCATTAGAAATAAGCGGAAACCCTTTCAACGGTTATCCTTGGAGGGATATCAACCTGAGAGTGCATTTTAGCATTACCGTATTTGTTTGATTTCATATTTTTAATTACGCATATTTTTAAACTGTACTTGTATATTATAGTTGATATCGACTCCTAAATTAATTTTAGCTTTTACCTTTATCTTTACCATTACAGAAATCATATGAAACTTCAGCACAGCATATTACTGAAATCTGCAAATGAAAAAGATATTTAAAGATGAATTTTACAAAAAACAAAGATAAATTTCAACAAATGTACAAAGATCTAAATATATTAAATAGTTTTTGTAATACATACAATACAATTTATTCATTAAAATGTATAAACTCCTTTTGAAAACTTGGTGTCGTTGCTATAGGTTATTACAAAAGAAAAATCGACGAACCTGCAATCTTTATTATACCTTCAACAGCTACTGTATTTTCAGAAGCATTCGAAAACAGATACAACGAGGGAAAACGTTTTTATGTCAGTTTATGAAAAAAACAACAATATTTTCCTCCACCTAGTTATTGAACTTTAGATGCAATGTCATAGAGCTTAACATTACTAATAAAACGTTTGCTACAGTTCTTTCTCAATGTAGAAAATTTTATTAAACACTCTTTTAACATGTTATTACACAAAGCCTGTCTCGAGGGTAGATATATAATTCAAGACTGTCATATGATCAACCTGGTGTTAATTTGCTTCAGTAGACCATAAAAAAATAAGTTATTGTCTTAATGCTTATCAACATATTTTAATGTTTTAATACTATGACCAGAGGAATTAGTTTTAGATTGTATGTACTCTAAAAGATCTTCGGAATTTTTTAGTATCCACATCTGATTCACGCCACCTCTAGAATAGGTAGTTTCACAATAACTTTGAAACCCGGCTTTGATTGCTGATAAAATTGATGTTGATAATTTAGAAAGGGGTTTTGTGGAGCACTTTGAAGACCCAGCAATACAACGTTTTTTGTGAGGACATTTATCCAATACAGTGATGGAAAATACAGTTCTACATCTTTGGTTGAAATTCCAAAGGAACATGTTCATATTTACGTCCCTATAACCTTCAGCTATTTTAAAAATTCGACGTTTTCAAATTTTCAAGATTTCTATAATATAAAAGTCCAAATATAACGGCTGAATATGTTGAAAACAAAAGGCCTATAACTCTTGCTATAGTACTGATTGATGAAGTTGTTTTACTATTATTACAAAAATACTTTATTGATCATTTTCATTTATTATACAAGAGGAGATACTATTATTTCAACATAATCTATAATGACACCGTAAAGTAGAATGTTTTGAGTGGGAGTGAAGCAGATCAATTATCGTTGACAATAGATTCAAATAAGTTATTTATTATATTATATTCAGATACATTGTTAGAACATTCTGTATAAGTATCACTAAACAAGAGTGAATCTTGACAGTTGTTTTCCAGTCGTTCCGTTGGTTGATATAGTCGAGCGTTTTGGTCTTGTCAGTTGGTTCTGGACTTTCGCTTCATGAATTTATATTTGAGTTCATATTTGTGTATTAACATTTTTTATCAGTACAAACAACATTTTTATGACCAGATTGTCGTAGTGTTGAATCAACAATTTTAATCAGCTTTTTAAACAACCAAAGAGCTGAAGAAATACTGCATGGTATTCAGGTATACCAAATAGTATTTCTTCAGCTCTTTGGTTGTTTAAAAAGCGGATGAAAATTGTTGATTTTTGTATATTACTTTTCCTTAGAAATCTTTTAAGGAAGTTTTTCCTTATCATATTCATACACATTTTCTGTAAATGGAATAGATAGATCACACAAATGGTTTTACTGCTGAAATAGACCAGTCCTTTAAATTTCTCTCCTTTTAATATTTAATGTACAAAGGAAGTATAGAAATCAATCCGTAGACTAATGGACTAATGAATTCTACATTATATCATTGTTTATTTGGGCAGTTTTATATTATCAGTTTAAAATAAAGAGATTTGGTGTCAGTGCCAATGAGACAACTAGCCACCGGAGACCAAATGATTTAGATATATACAGTTACATGTCACTCTACGGCATTAAACAATTAGCAAAACCCATTCCGTATAGCAAGCTATTTAACGCCCCGTCAACTTAACTAACTTATTCAATAAAATCTACGGAAGGTTTAATAACAGTATGCTGGTGTTGCTGTAATGAAACATCATAATATCTAGTTTTGGACTTAGCAAATTAGCTCTAGTTCTTGTTAATGAAACAAATTTTGCCAGGACGTTCAATATTCTTCAATTCTTGGTATATCGCATCCGTTAAAAACAGCAAATATACCACATTAGCCAAATCACCAGGCTAACATGATAACTCATTTACCATAGATTCTAAAGAGCTCGTAGCTCTTTTCTGGTCTTTCTGTTCAATTTGGATATAAACTAACAAATTAACCACAACTCCGAGACTGGGTTCCGAATAACTTGCCGTACTAGTCTTGTCATTTTTATTCGTACTCCGTTTCAAAGTTTGTTTTTGTAGCAGTTCAGTGTTTATGTTGTTCCGTTGTTTTCCTTTTATAGTTGATGTGTTTTCGTCGGTTTTGGTTTGTGACCCGGATTTGTTTGAGTTCAATTGATTTATGACTATTGAACAGCGGTATACTACTGTTGTCTTTATTCAATATCAAAAATTTTTGTCGATCATTCCGGCATTCAATTAATTGCTGTAGTCTTTGATGTTTTTTTACCTTTGTCTTATTTGTTACTCGCTTAACTCTGGTTAGTTACACAATCAGCAAATACAATGAATAAATTACAACAACTGTTCTTAATAAATATAAACAATGATTTACACAAAATTTAAAAAAAATCACGTATAAATAAATTTTAGCATTATGGCTACACCGTCAAACCTCTACAGAGTTTGGCAGTACTCCAAATCGACACCTGCTTAACACTATCACATGATTCGGATGTTGTATGGCGGAATATAATTGTTCTTATTAATACAATAAGTATTTATATATCCGAACAATATTAATTAAAGCGGTTGCATTATTACAATTTATTTTGTTATATCGAAAACTTTTTTGTATTAGAAAGTAACACTACGATAGATTGTAGTTTTCGGACTTTCCCAAATATTCATCTATTTGAAAAAGTAGTCACATTATTTTGTCTTTTTAACGCCAATAGTACATACAGGTGATTCCGAAAGTTTGAAAGTGATGAAAGGTAACATGCTTCATATCAATATCAATATTTGTAATGCAAAGTTACTCAGTATATGCGGTTTTAATTCCTGTCTTTTTCAGCACTGCTGATGGTTTTGAATATAAATTGGCTGATCCTACTGGCAGATACTTGTATTTTGGGATTTTAAGACCTTCAAACAATACTGAAGTTGTATTTTATACCAATGATACAGGTTACGACCTTACAAGTAAGATAACTTCACTGATTAAATGTTCTACTTAAATGTTCTGTATCTAAAAAGTAAAATCACAAAAATACTGAAACCATACTCGTTTATCAATTTTGAATACCACAAATTTTTTCAGTAGAAATAAAGTGTTTTGTCAAAGCGTGTATGGATTAAGTAGTTTAAAATATGTATGGGTATTGCTGAAAAATTAAGGAGTAGTAGTGATAGAATTGACAGGTGTATGTAGAAAAGGCTTAGATTGTTAGAAGGTTTACAGATTTCCCAGAATGTTCTTTTTAGGCTGTCAGTCAGTCGATGGGTTGACAAAGTTGACATGATGATCATTCAGTTGAAGTGATAGGTATGGAAATTGTGAACTTATAAATAATTGTTTTGATACAAATTAAATGTTTGATCTATCAATTCAACCTAGTTTACATGTTAATCTCTGTCGATCGACTCAACGACCTTTCCAACCAGAACAACTTGTCCACCATATAAACCTGTCAATACTGTTAACTTGTCGACAATGTCAATTTGTAGATCATATCAACCTGACGACTTGTCACCTATGTCAACCTGGCGATCATGACAACCTGATGATCAAGTCAACATGTCGATTTTGTCAACCTGTCAACCTATCGATATAAATAAGAAGGTGTGGTATGAGTGCCAATGAGACAACTATACATCCAAGTCACAATGTGTAAAAAGTAAACAATTATAGGTCAAAGTACGGCCTTCAACACGGAGCATTGGCTCACACCGAACAGCAAGCTATAAAAGGCCCCAAAAAGACTAGTGTAAAACAATTTAAACAGGAAAACCAATGATCTAATCTATTTATAAAAAAAAAAACGAGAAACGAGAAACACTTATGAAACACACCAACAAACGGCAACCACTGAACAACAGGCTCCTGACTTAGGACAGGTGCATAAAAATGCAGCGGATTTCAACGTTTTAACAGGCGCCAACCTTCACCCTAACCTAACAGTGGTATAATATTACAACAAAAAAGACACACAATTAAATATCAATTGAAATGGCTTAACTCGATCAAAAGGACATTACACAAGAATTAAGTATATATACACTGAACGAATAAGTTTGATCTATGACACAATATAAATAACAATGATATTTCGATGTCAAAAAGACAACTTTAACCTAGGACAAAATGACGTTAAATAAAGTAACGTACACAGGTAAATTAAAATATAATAATTTTGTTGTTATGAGTACAGAAATATTTAAAACAAAATAAATTTGTTGTTCATAGTTCGAGTACAGAAGTGAAAATATCGACTCTGGCAATCTTGACTATTTTATTAACCTGGCCGAACTCATATTTGCAAAATTATGTAATGGCGTATTAATCTCAGTTACTTTTAACAGGAACTATTTGCCCGTATATACGTCACCCGTGTTTGTTGTCATTATCAGGGATCAATTAACATTAACATTGTTGTTAATTTCCCCGAGGAAGGGATTCTTGTCTGTTCTAAAATACGGTCTTTTTACTGTTAAGTTAGTTTTGTTGCTAATTTATGTCATCCCATACCATGTTGAAAGTTATTTTAGTATTGCTATACGAAAAACAAAACTCAAAGTAAAACAGTTTGAACTTGACAACTTTGAAAAAACTTCTTAATTCAATAAGTCAGGCATTTTAACAATTCAAAGAGTAACACTACTGTTTTTATATTTTTTTCAGTTTTTGTCTCAAAAAGAAAAAAAATATATCAAACATTATATTATTTAGTCACCGATTTGGGGAAAATGCAGTACACACTTTGTTTGTGAATATAACACACAAGCTATTGAAGTCGAGTAAAATGTGTTTTATGGAACTTAAAGATTTACATAATTTTGATCTGATGTATATTGTTCTGATAATCTTCCCATTCAAGCTATTCATTTGTCATTTGTGGCATTGTGGTGATTTTAATCCGCTACATGTACATGCGGTGCACTATTTCCCTTCTATTTCTTAATATGAGAACAATGCGTGGCCTCAGCTGTGAAACGAAAAGCATAATTCTTAACAATATTCTACATCTTAAGACCTGTTACCAAATGACATTCTTTTCTATGTTTTCTTTAAAAACAGAATGATGAATTCATAGTTTATTTTTTCTTTGACGTTCTGGGCGAAATTAGAAGTCTTTCAATATATTTTTTCTATACAAGTCCTTTTGTTATAACTTACGAGATTTAAATACAGGCATACATGTACTAAAAGGCCACAGTAAAATAAATCAAAGAACTTAATGTTTGAATACCTAATTGGAAATTTTTGTTTTTAAATTTACACTATAAAGTATATGCTATTTCTAAAAAATGATTTTTTTTCTTCTTAAATAGATGGACTGCCGTCGTCTACGAACGTTGTAAAGTTGGAAGTTATTGCATCTTTTAAGGGTATGTAATTTCAACTGTTTTAAGGTAAAAGAGCTCCATGAGATTGTAAAATAACTTTTTTTAGAATATATATGTATTACTGAATAAAATGTTAATTACATGTATACATTAATCAATTTATTCATTATTAATAGTAAAGTTTTCATGTTATATATGTTTACAGATAAAAATAAAATTGAAAGTTTTTAATATATTATAGATGTGGGTATTTGTAATGAGACAACTATGGAATCACCAGTAGATGTCGCAGCCTGTGACGGTCAGTACTGTTTACGAAATTATATCAGTTTTTTCCGATCTTTTTTTTGCTCAGATCTTAATAATTTATGATACGGTATATAAATTCAGAGAAACTCTTTTATATTACAAAGCTGTGGGTTGGCTACATTTTACTACCATACTAACTCTATTTATCTCTTAACGCGTTTATGTATTATATATCCATGGCATTCAAATGTTTAAGTTTTAGGGTTCCTGATAAGGTAAATCAAGAAAAAGCTCTTCGAACAAACGAAATTTATAAAGAGTTATATTCATCTAAATATTTCAACAGAATTAACACAAAAACCATAGCTAATATGTTATATGCAACTCAGTGTTAACCACATCAAATTCCAGTGAAACATGAGTACAAGTTATACATGAATCGGTGAATAATTTCCATCATTGTCCTTTCTGATGATCAACTTCAAGTAAATTTATTTTGAAATCTATTATGATATATGTATATATATATAATAATTAAGAAAGAAGTGAATAGCAAACCAATATGATAAATTACGAAAACAACAACTTCATGCTCATTTCAGAACCACCTACAGTGACTGCCAGTTTCTCATATATTGAAGCCGTATACAGTGATAACATCACTTTACAGTGTACAGTTGACGGTGGTATTCCAATTGATGAATCATTCTGGGACACTGTAACACAAGGACAGGTTGATGTTGATGTAATCAATAGCATGGATATGATACTAAACCTTGAAAGTGTAACATTTGCTTATACAGGAATATACAGGTGTTGTGTTGCAAACAAGCTTCATTTCAAAGAATGGGATCAAATAGTAGTAAACGTGACAGGGGGTAAGAAGCTACAGAGAAAGAAATTATTTTTATTATAATCAGCAGATCATAAGTTTGTTATTTGTGGGGAGGGGGGGGGGGGTAGACGATGGTAATAAATATTAAAAATGAACGTACAAAAGATAGCAAGAAATTATTTTGAACAAATAATAATTACAAAAATACAATATATAATAATTATGTTAGAGAGGGAAGATCTTTTCAACAAAATTACATTACAGTACTCTGGAATTTTTAATGGTACAATTAAAAGTGTCTACTGTCCCAAAGTTTGAATTTGATAACCGTTTAGAAAATTTTAGTATAGTCAATTAGTTGTAGTCCAAATTTTTAATTCGTTCATGACTCGACTATCAATACATGCATCTATCAGCGGATACCAAGAGAAATACTACGGTTGTCACTAGTTAGACCTACTGAGTCTACGGGAGCACTTAAAGTCACCATCGGCTTAGGAATCTACAAAAGGCAAGAGTTAACATTTAAAGGAATCAATACTTTATTATCATGTTAACAATACCAATCTTATAAAAAGTATTTTGAGTAGCAAGATTTTAACAAACGAAACAGAAAATCTGTGACGACAAGATGCATTTATCTATCCATGCTTATATTAATCTGTAAAATATTCCGGGAAGAAATTTATAATAGAAGGCTGTGACAAATCTTTAAAATAATATACTGTCATTTATTGTTCTCTTGTGTTTTTTGTAAAGGCTTTCCACAAGTTACCACGACTTCATTATCGACAACTCTTAATACAAGTGAATCAGTTACTTTTGATTGTTCTGTAACGGCTTCGCCTATTGTTACCGATTTTTATTGGAGGAAACGAGTCAGCGGAGTAGATTCAGTAATTTCAACAACAGACAGTAGATTTACTATTGCGGGATTGTCAACGCCTTCCTTGACTATCACAAATCTACAAGTAACTGATGCTGGAGAATATTTTTGTGTTGCGTCCAATGTAATTGGAGAAGGTACAAGTACAGGGATAACATTAGCTATTACTTCACAAAATACAGGTTTGTATGAGATATACTCACGGAAAAAAAACAGCGTGCATTTCTCAATATATGGCAACTACTTCAAATATTATCCTTATACCTTTGCTATTAAGATAATTGAACAGAGTTTATCGTTTCAAACGTAGAAATGAGGTTGTTTCCCCTTTTAAACCTCGTAGTGGAACAAAAATAAAACGAGTTTTTGCCGTAAGATGACATTGTAATGTTATGTTGCAGATGGGAGAGCATGCGCAGTTAGAGGCATTACATTATATCCGTCAATTATTTTTATTTTATGCAACAGTTTAATGCAATTAATGCGATATCATTTTCGGTTGAACTTACCACCAGAAATGTTAGCTTTTGACTTTCGGAGATATTTTGATGTCTGGATTACGTCACTACACTAGCGTACGTCATTCAAATAAACCGATATCGTATGCACCCTAATTTAAAGATCGAATACGTAATATTTTGTTTTATGTCTGCATTGTCCGTTAGCAAAGTTCTGTGCATCACCATCATGGATTTCAGTGAAAAAGAGGTGGTAAGTACCGAATGGACATTCTAAACCCATAGGTCAAAGAGAAGCCGACAACGCAACGCTATGGCAAAAACGAAAAACGACGAAAAGACAAACACGTCACATAACTATTTAGAAAACTGAAGACTGAGCAACTCAAATCCAACCAAAAACGAATGTTGATCTTAGCTGCTTTGGAAGGGAGAGCAGATCCTTCTGTACTAGTGGAACCCGTCATGTTGCTCATTATATGTACACAAATAAGAGGATAGAGGGACTGATTTTTATTTGTTATTTTTTAGACAGTTGATTTAGGATGCAGTTTCTTTTTCCACCAGTACAAATGATGTTCAAACTGCTTGTTGCCGTATTGGAGCATCTGATAGGATCCTTTTAAACAACCTTAAGTTGTCTGTTAAATATATGTGTTTCGATTTTTTTACCATAGTTTTATATGTCCTTCACTGACTAACTATTTTGATATCTTTTTGTATCTAACTTAAAAAAAAACCATCACAATATCAAGTATTGAACTGACCGGTAGGCTGGTAGTCTTGTGAAATGCATTCGCGTTTTAAGATCAACAAAATAAAGTAAAAAAAGGTATAATGACCACTTTACACACAATGTATCGGTCGATGCATATTAATTCCAAAATAATATTTATTTGTTAATAGATAAAGAAATGTAAATATTGATGTTATTTCTGATTTTCCGTTCATGTACCTGATGTATGCTAATGCAATTCATTTTATCAAGCGATTATAAAGAACATAGGAAAAAAAAATTCAGACCTTTCACACTTTTGATCGACCTTGATGCAGCCATCGTGGCTAGCCCATTTATAAATGGATATGTTCTTCGTAAGTGACAGTTCGTCCTTCGTGATAAATTCTTTTTAAAATAAAGGTGTTTGTTGAATCAAATATTACTCATGATCAGAAACAGTAAAATGTGAATAAATTTTATTGAAAGAAATAAAAAATGATGTAATGAACGTTGTTTCTTGGTACAATGAGTTTGGGCCGATGAAGATTTGGAACTAAAAAAAAGGGTAATGTAAAAATTCAATCGACCAATGACATAAGTATTCTAATGAGGCCATCAACAGTTCATAATTGGTGAACAGACAATTTTACAGTGTGTCAAAACAGTTAAATATTAAGTTTTTTTAATACTGAAATTATATGGAGAAAATGTAATAATGGTAATGATAATCTTGTTTGTTAACCTATCGATGTCTTTGCGTTTTTTTTTTAATCTGAGGGTTACTGTCTTGTTAACGTTTATTCCATCTCTTTAGCTCACCGGGGCCCTTCGGGCCCCATGTGAGCTTATGCCATCATTTGGCGTCCGTCGTCGTCCGTCGTCTGTCGTCGTCGTCTGTCGTCGTAAACTATTTCAAAAATCTTCTCCTCTGAAACTACTGGGTCAATTACCTTCAAACTTTAACTAAATGTTCCTTAGGGTATCTTGTTTATAAATTGTATCCGAAGTTTGTATCCATCGACAAACATGGCTGCCATGGCTAAAAATAGAACATAATGGTCAAATGCAGTTTTTGGCATATATCTCAAAAACTAAATCTTTTAGAGCAAATGTGACAGGGGTAAAATTGTTTAATTGGTCAAGATCTATCGGCCCTGAAATTTCCAGACGAATCGAACAACCCATTGTTGGGTTGATGCCACCGAATTGGTAGTTTTAACAAAATTTTGCAGTTTTTTGTTATTATTTTGAATATTATTATAGATATATATATAAACTGTAAGCAGCAATAATGTTCAGCAAAGTAAGATTTACAAAAAAAGTTAATATGACCATAATTGTCAATTGACCCCTTAAGGAGTTATTGCCCTTTAAAGACAATTTTACACAATTTGTTCATCAAGTTTGCTAACATTTAAAAATCTTCTCCTCTGAAATACAGGTGAGCGATTCAGGCTCTTGAGAGCCTCTTGTTTTTTATTCATACTGCTATTGTAAACATTATTTTTTAATATATTTACAGATTTATGTCCTTGTTCGTGTGCATACCGCTCCAAAGTAGACTACTGGGCATCACACAATGTAACCAATATGACATACGATGAAATTGTTGTCTGGTTACAGCCCAAAATAAAAGAATTGGAAAAGACTCTGACAGTTGATAAATCCAACTTGTCAGCTCTAATCAACAAACGAATAAGTATGAAAGACGATCGACCATCAGCTAGAAGTATTGGGTATATAGGGATTGTTATATTGTCCGTTGTTTTTGTTTTGATATTGTTTATAGATGTGACATCGATCACAAGACATACACAAAACATTAAACTATTGTGGGGAGTGAAAAAAAAGTGAGACCAATTTATATCATTGTTGTTTTGGTTTTATCATTGCTCAATTACATTGTGGTGTACTTCAGACATCTCATTGGGTTTGGAAAGCAATCATCAACTTGCACTGTGTACTCATCGTAGCGATAATGTATATTTGTTCAACAAAAAATTAATAGTTATCATTAGCGACAATCAAAAAAACTATAGTAGAGTTATACATACATACAAATTTAACTATGCACCAGATTGGATAGTTTTATATTAGTGTTAATAGACTCTGATAGAAAAACCAATGCTTAATACAACTAGGTCCGTAACGTTTAATTGATCTATAACGGATTCGCCTCGTGTTACAAATTAACACTGCAGGAAACGAGTCAAGACTACATATCGTTTCAATGCAAGCTATTTTGTACGTATCCAAAAGTATTGTATTGAAATGAATAAAATAGATGTAACAAATGTTTTCTGGTATCAGTTACATGTGAGTGATATGTTGCTAATGGTTCTAATGCAAGAGTTATGTAACATTGATGTGGGATTTTATGTCTGACATGCGGAAATATCAATGTTAGGCTAGAATGACAATGATGTTCATTAACATATGTGTTTTTATCCTTTGATATGATAGGTTTGTAACCAAATGCTCCCAAATATTCTTTATACATGTAACATTTATAACTATTTCCAGTATTGCTGTTGTTGATTTATTGTTCTGTGAAGAAAATCCAGAAAAAGCTCTTATAACCGGATAAATATTGAATCTTCCTCCTCTTTGAGAATATATTGACCAATAAAGGTTAATGTTATATTATATCTTATACGTTTATATAATTACATTACATGAATGTTTCATTAGAATCCGTAATTTTGATATGCTGACAACAATCCCGGGGAACTTCAATATCATATATTTTTATTTCCGTATAAAATACAACAGCTTTAACTGCAAGTGCTTTCCGTGGCAATGCTTAAATAATGCATTGAAAAACAAACAAAAAGTTTCATAGTTGTAGCATTACATTGTAATTATAGAAATTGAATGCTTCTTTTTATGTTCTATGGTTGTAAAAGCGTTGATCGTGCGCATATTTTTAATATGAAGACATACAAAATGTGCTTCGGTCAACGCTTTTACATACCAATAAAATTATAAAAATAAGCATTCAATTCTTAAATGATGTGTCGTTAGGTCTATTTGGCTGAATCGAAAATTAAATTAAAGTAATTCAATTTGTATTTTTATGCTGAATAAATTTATAACCGACGATAACTTTATTATGAACTTTTCGGTTAGTTGAATCATTTTTTCACAATAAATATTTTAAGCAACCAAACGACAAACATAACTAAATAAAGGCAACAGTAGTAAACCGCTGTTCAATAGTCATAATTCGATTAAGCAAAAACCAATCCTGGTAACAAACTAAAACCGAGGGAAACACATCAACTATAAGAGGAAAACAACGGAACAACAGAAACACTGAACTACAACAAAAGCAAACGCCAACATACATAGAAACAGACTGTCTGATCAAGAGGGAAACATACAGTCTTCAACAAAAGAAGGTGTCTTACACAATATGACAAACTCTTAATCGTTCCGAATTTATACAAGTTATGAATGAATTTAATAGAAACATTCAAAGAAATACACCACACATCACTTCTCCAAGCAATAGAAAAAAAACATTAAAAGGGTCCTAACTTAGTATAGACACATGAAAATATGGCGGGGTTAAATAAGGTTTTCTTTAGATTTATTTTTAAACCTGATCAATAGACAGATTAACAACTGTACACAAAAGAACATACGGTAACATGCTCTCTTTGTAAGGGGACATTTTTCTATTAAGGCTACATTTTAATTAAACACATGTTTATGCAATTTACAAAACTTACTTGATATGTTAAATTTGTGTCGTAAACAAACGTCAATAATCATTAATGTAGTTCAGTGAAACAAATTAATATGAAAAATGTTGTTCTTAGGTCGACTCCATTAGTTTCCTGTATTAAATCTAATTAGAAGTCGACGGGCTTAATTAATTACATATTTATTAAAAACAGACTTAATATAGTGTATGAAAAATCGGTTACATATTGGTGAAACTTATTTCTCGATTGTACAAAATTTATGAGAGATTAATTTTCTGTCGTATACACAACAGATGTTGGAAAAAAAGTTGAACAGTATAACATTCCAATAAAAAGATGCTTTAAGCTCCGATTTATAGATAATTATTTACATTTGGACAAAAACTATTTGATATGACATAAAAAAAACTTTTTTTTTCCAAGACAAAGCAATTTTTGTTAGTGGAAACTATTGTTTATCTTTCAATTGGTGTGTTTCGAACGTTTAAATTTTACCATCGAATGTTCCGATTGACTCATCATTCATAACAGTAATTCAAGACAAATGGCAGTGTCCGATTCTATTTGAAAGAACTAGAAGATATGGTCATAAAAAAAGAGTTTGAATTTGTTATAGAAAATTGATAACATTTAAAATTACTTGCAGTGCATCTTTTTTTCAACAAAATCTTTTTGATTTAAAAATAATTCAGTATTCTCTTTTTTTCGCGTTTGAAATACTAGTTTTAACAGTTACTGAAAATGAAAAACTCATTTTGAGTAAAAGAGCGTAAATTTATAATATATTAAAAAAATGAGTAGCATACCAAAACCTGCTCATAAATTACTAAAATTACTAAAATTAGTTCATATGCGTTTGTTTAAATCTATCGGTCTACTGTTTAGAACTTAATAAACATGTTTTCGTTCTGAATAAACATGTATAGTTTCCATTGGAATGTTGGAAATAAAGAAAGCAATAACAATGACTAAATATACAACAATAGTAGATAGCCATCGAGGCACAAGGGATAAGAGTTCCCTTTGTTCTCATTTACCAAAAATTAAAATACATGAGTCGTTGTCGATTAATGGCATACCTAAACTGGAATCCGATTGTATTTCAATGTGCCTAATGCAGACTGATAAATATTAAAAGGAAAGAGATTTGGCCTTAACGACTTGTGGTTTTGGCAAACCACAATTAGTTCACGTGCTTTTCACAAGTCAATAGTTTATTTATCTAAATATATTTTGTCATTCGAGATATTTGGTGTTGATTGCATATTTGTTAAAGTCCTTGTGGAATTAATATACAAATTATGTTTTAGAGCTAGAAGTTTTGTAAAGGTACTTGTCTCGGCTTATTATTGACTGAAATTTTTAATATATATACCAAACTTTTTGATAGCCTAGTCTGGTCAGTTATAAGTTATGGTGCAGCCATCTGGGATACTAGTGCCTCGTGCAGACTGATAAACATTAAAAGGAAAGAGATTTGGCCTTAACAACACCAGTTTAAGCAAACCACAATTAGTGCACGTGCTTTTCACAAGTCAACAACCTAATCAGTACTTTGTTTATCTTAATATATTTTTTGTCATTCGAGATATTTGGTGTTGATTGCATATTTGTTAAAGTCCCTGTGAAATTAATTAACAAATTTTGATTTAGAGCTTGAAGTTTTGTAAAGGTACTTGTCTCCGCTTATTATGGACTGTTTTTTTAAATATATATACCAAAGGTTTTGATAGTCTAATCTGGACAGTTATAAGTTATGGTGCAGCCATCTGGGGCACTAGATATTTTTTATGCATTAATGCCGTTCAGCACAGAGCTATCCATTTTTTTATGGGTCTTGGTAAATATAAACCTAGTGATGACATTAATTGGGATATGGGTTGGAAACCTCCATGTGTTAATAGTGGAGTTATGGTTTTAGACATTGGGCTAGATGTAATATTATATCAACAGAGTGAACTATACGCTTTTTCGACGGGCTTTTAGAAATGCTATTAATAAAAAGAAAAACTAGTGTAACATCATTATGACAAACTTTAGAGAATGCTATTTAAATTATACACTAATTTAGAGAATGTGTTGCATAAAAATTTTATAACACAGTTGGAAGATTTTTTATTTGATAAATATAAGATAAATCAGCATAGTGTAAATTCAGAAAATATTGCGTGCAATTGTTATTGCGATCTTTGAAAAATGAACATAAATGCGATATTAATTATTGCGATTTCAGGAAAAGCAGATACATGCATCAGATATTAGAATGCGAGCTTTTATCATTGCGATACTCACCGAGTCGCATTATTCGCATTAATAAAAACCTCGCAATAATTTCTGAATTTACAGTAACAAAATATTGTCACAAAATGTTGGAAAAAAATTACGGTCTTATTAATTGTTTAAAGATGTTTTTGAAACAGAGATGTATTTGAGTAAGAACATTTCAAGTCAATACAGAAGTGTATTTGCTAAATTTGGATGTGATGTTGCCTCTTTGCGAATAAAAAAAACCAGGTCGCTATGAAAACAAAACTGTAAATGAATGAGTTTGTTTTTATGTAATAATCCGATTGAAGATGAGAAACATGTTTCCATGTCAGGAATATGACAGTTGTTTTCTATTCGTTTGATGTGTTTGAGCTTTTGATTTTGCCATTTGATAAGGGACTTTCTGATTTGAATTTTCCTTTGAGTTCGGTATTTTTGTTATTTTACTTTTTATCAGACTGTTCTTTATACGTAGATTTGCGTGGAAGATTATTTTACGAAGTTAAAAAAAAAATGCTGATTTTAATATTTTATCTGATGATATATCTTTTTAAAAGTACTGATTGTTATGATATGTTTGCCAAGACCTACTTTAATATTCTAAGTAGAAGAAATAGTTTTGTTTATGCTTGATTGATAGTTATGATTTTATAGAACTGAAACATTTTATAGACAGTTTTATGTTTTACAGACCTGAAATGTTTTATCAAAGTTATAATTTATTGGAATGTTTATAGTCTCTCATAATTCTTTATAGAATGGCACTTGTATTTTAACTTATAAAATTACTGTTTTATACAATGTATATATTATAATGATTGTATTATATGTATATAAGTGGTGAGACTCTAATAAAATATATAATCTGAATCTGTCTTATGCTTACGACCGTATGTTGACCTGTAGAACTCTTATTGTGTAGTTCGTTTCACAAAGAAGGGATTATTATAAAGAGCCCGTGATATTATTTCTTCAATCCTTTAAAGATTCATATCATATTATAAATATGAATCATGTTAATATTATTAGTAAATAAATGGGCTTAATAGTCTGGTCACATCGGAGCAGTAATGTAATGTCATTTGCAATAGCTCTGCGATGTCATCAACATGAAATATTTGGCCAAATGGCCACTGTACAACTTGTCTTAATTAAAATTATATATGAATAACTACATTATCCATTAAACATTACAAGTATATCGATATCTTTTGAAACATCCGACGTGCCCATTACAGGTAAACAGTCTAGGAATTCTATTTTATCTATATTTTTATTTTTGAATTATGTCTCTTTTCTCAATTGACGAAAGACTTTCTTCATGTTCTACACTTAAGGTACGGTTGAAATGCTTTCACATTAAATTACTTATAAAATGTCAATTAATATATACTTTTCACTGCATAAAAAATAGTTTTAGCATGCCACAAAACCAGGTTCAACCCACCATTTCTTTCTTAAAATGTCCTGTACCAAGTCAGTAAAATGGCCATTGTTATATTATAGTTCGTTTCTGTGTGTGTTACATTTTAATGTTGTATTTTTGTTGTGTCGTTGTTCTCCTCTTATATTTGATGCGTTTCCCTCAGTTTTAGTTTGTAACCCGGATTTGTTTTTATCTCTATCGATTTATGAGTTTTCGAACAGCGGTATACTACTGTTGCCTTTATTTAGCAGGATTGCAAAACTAAATTATTTAATATTCTTATATCGTTTTAACATAATACATATTTTAACTGATAAATAAAATTTTAATTCATTTTTATACTTATTCATATATTTATTTATTTTTTGTTTGATATTTGCCCCTTTAAATTTATTTATTACTGCCGGTCACGGACTGACTCCATATCTGAGTTACTGACCAGTAACTCTTGCAGTATGGTTTGGTTGTTTAGAAGAGCTTGTCTTTAGTATTGCGGATCACCATCTGACTCTATTTCCGAGTCACTGAACAGTAACTCTTGCAGTACGTCTTTGTTTTTTAGAAGAAATTGTCTTTAGTACTGCCGGTCACGGCCTGTCTCCATTCTGAGTCACTGATCAGTAAGTCTTGCAGTGTGGCTTGGTTGTCTTGAAGAACTTGTCTTTAGTACTGCCGGTCACGGCCTGACTCCATTTCTGAGTCACTAACCAGTACCTCTTGCAGTATGGATTGGTTATTTTAGAGGAACTTATCTTTTATAGTACTGTTATATAAACATATGGTTATCGATTTCTGTAATAAATTGAGCTAAGCACGACCAGACATACTGTTGATTTTCTTTTGACATGGATTCTTAATGAAACTGCTATTCAATTATGGGTATAATTTTCTTGTTAAAGAACTCATTTACCTCTCTCCCATCCCTCTCTCTTCCGATAGATAACATTACATGCTGTAAAGGAGGCAAGCACTGTCTGTTCCGTTCTGAGGTGCGTTTTGGAAAGTAGAGGTCTAGTTTCCTGGCTGAAGTCGAAATGTTAATGTGTAAACAGTCTTTGTTTTGAAGTTTAGTGAAATGAATCATGATTATTTGTTTTTGTACCCAGTATGAAAATAGTTTAAAACCCTAAGTTATATTCTAATTTGTTAATCCCGAACTAAAATCGTTTTGTCGTTTTGGAAAACCAATTACACGGGTTTATATGGTTTGGTCATTGGCTATCATATTCAAGATATACTTGACCTCCAATTCATCTATACCCCAGGCAACATACTTCATTCAGGCTTTTACCACGTACCAGTAGTAATTTATAATTGTTTTCAATGCCAAACATCGAGGAATATATCAAACCTAAATTTTTTTTCAATTCATTGACCATAAGTTTTTATATTAACTATTAACAGAGAGTCATCGACTCAACTCCAAAGAATATCACTCAGTGTCTGTAAATCGTTTCATATCTATATAATTATTTTAAGGACTCAAACCCATATTCATTTATGAACTGTTCGATATGACATATAATTTCTGCATTTAAACACCGAAAAGTGCCTTTAAATTTCGTCGTAATTTCCAGGGTTCACTTGTACTTTTTAATAAAATTAAGTATCTTGGTTTCTATTAAAAAAAAAAGAAGGAAAATGTGGTATTATTGGCGATGAGACAACTCTCCACCAAATGACGTAGAAGTTAACAACTATATGTCACCGTACGTACAATGAGCAAAACCCATACCGCATAGCAAGTTTTAAAATGAAAATGTAAAACAAAGTCATACGACAGAACTAACTGCCTTATTTCATCGCGTTGTCTTTTACTATTTTGTTTTAGTTTCCTTATTTATATTTTGATAAAAACGAAGAACTTAAATTACTATAAACAGAAATTTATCATCTTATATCTGACTGTCTCTATAAAAGACGTCCTGACCCTGTATTAGTATTTCAACACTGCTATTGCATATGCATAATAAACTTTTTTGTTATCCGACATTACAAACATCACGGCCAAGCATTTAATTGTTCTTTCAGACTCGTCATTATACTGCTTAAACATCTGTATAACTTAAATGCATATTAAAAAGCACAAATTAGTCATGTTAATATTTGTCACCTACACATCTTGTACTTTTAAGTGTAGGGATACACTTAACAAGCTTTCCTGATACAAATAAGTAATAATTAAAAAGTTTAAGCCAGTAAAAGAAGGAGGAAAATATTGTCTACATTAAAAACGAGGATGTTTTGATGTGTGAGTAAAATTTTGTTACATCATTTCCCTTAATAATTGGTTTAAACATTAATCTATACATCGAATATGTATGTATACACGTTATACATTGACTACAACAAAATGAAAATCATTGATTAGTATTAATATAAATGTGATTTTGTTTTGTCATTTTATCAATCAGGTAATTTGCCGAATATTTAATTATAAAATATTTTTCTGTATCTTTATTAATTCGATTTCAGTTGTTTTAAACTTACATAAAAGTTTTTAAAAAAAACCGACTATTTTCTTAGTTATGTTAATATGTTAAAAAATGTAAGTAGATTTACGCACACAATATAAATAATATATAAACTATATGTCCAATGTATTACTACATCTAGAATGTATAAATGCACAACCAATGGATATATATATGAACGTCCGTTCATGTTTTTCACTAGTCATTTGTGAAAGTACAGTCTAATTGTTTGGAAAGAAGTGTAACTGCATGTTCCAAGTTTTCCGTTTGGATCGATTTCCCAAAGGAGGAGTGTATATAGGTATTTTCTTGTTTTCTGAATATACCTTGAAATCTGAGCATTCCCCTGTTCTTGAATACATGTTCAATTTTAGGTATCATATTCATTTTCCCTTAGACGATAAAAAATTTCCTCTCATCTTTTATTTCTACTAAACGTGTAATTTTTGGATGACATAATGCTAGGTGAAAACAGAATAGTAAAGTTTCCACTTTTTGTAAACATATTACACAAACTGCATACCATTTTCTTATCTCAAAATAGGAAACTCTGGGATTTACATTCTTTTTTTTTTTAATTTAAAACGATATAGAAATAAATATGTATCAAAAGTGCAGGGATGTTTATACCAGAAGACCTCTCTAATTACTGAGGTCATTGTCTGGATTCATTTCCTGAAGATCAATCCATAATATTTAGAACTAAAGCTAGTTGCAGTTAAAGAATGTCGATTTAAGCAATATATACTATTAAAACATGGTTTCTTTAAACATGATTTTTATTAAACTTATACGAATTCTATTATATTTGTCTGCTTGATAACTTCGGCAGAATTTGTAACGATTTCAGTAAGGCAAATAAGCGATCGACTGTAACTTAACTTGAACGTCATTTGAGATAAAATTGTAACAAGAACCATATATTTCAAGTGCCTTTTTACATTATTCCAACAAATTTGTGTTCAAATAGATTTTGTATAAACAAAAAAGAATAACTCCAAGGTAAATTCAAAAAGGGAAATCCATAAAAAGTGACAAAATAAAACGTTATCAATAGATCAACGAAACGAGTGATAAACAAATGTCCTGTTTCTGACTTGGTACTTGCATTTTCCGAAGAAAAATGACATAGTTGTTTGTTTTATAGTGATTAAGATTATAACACAATGTTGACTCCTGTACCCCAATTTTTGACATTTTCACCTAATATGTCTGTTTGTTTTTTTCACACATTGTTGTCAATATAAAAGAATTTTATGCGACTGTCATACAAGTGAGAGGTTTAGCTAGCTATAAAACCAGGTTTAATCCACCATTTTCTACATAAGGAAATGCCTGTACCTAGTTTGGAATATCCATTCGTTTGATGTGTTTGAGCTTTAGATTTTGACATTGGATAAGGGGCGTTTTGAATTTTCTTTCGGTATTTTTGTCATTTTACTTTTCACAACTCAGTAAAAAATTCAATCAATCATACAAATAAATCGGACAAAGACGCCAACAAAAAAGGTGCTGTATTTGATAGTAAATTTGACAAAATCGCCGATCTAAATGTTTTTTGTACTATATAAACTCCGACAGTTTTCACTGGAAGCATATTTACCAATAATTCTGAAATGAATATCAGTTATCATTGCTATTAACATTGTGTATAATTGGTCTTCATTTTTTCCAGAGAAATTTGACAATTAATAAATTGGAATCACGAATTGTCTGATAATACATTAAATAGTCAAATTACAGCGAATGAAATGTTGAAATGTGACCAACACCTTAAATTAAAACTAATAAAACATGTTATAATTAAAATGTTTTCAAAGAATAACATTAATTCACAGTCATTTGGAACAGAAGAATAGTAAAAGCACTTTTCATGTCATATGTGTATTGTCAATGGTCTTTATGGATGCTTTTTTATTATAAAATCTTCAATTCATTAATTTGTAGTTGTATTTAAAAAGTTATTTTATTGAGGATGTTTTCCCGCAATAAACCATTCTGTAAAATCAGAAGATATTAACTGGAAACCTGGTTACAATGGTAAGTTGTCTTAAAATTAACATTGTATTAACATATGTTTTAATTTAATATATCCGGGGCTGACATGAAATATCCTGGATGTATCCGCTACATTTTCCGTAATTTTACTTTTAAACGTTAAAACTTGTTTTTATACACGTCAAGAATAAATGGCTAAAGTCTGACTTGGAAGGCACGTTTTAAATTTTTTGTTTAAATTTCAATTCACTTCTGAGAGCAATTCTAGTCATTGCATCAAAATGGGATGGAATGTTTTAGTCCAGAACTCTGATTCGTTGCTTTCAAATATTTGGATATGAGCATTCCTGATGAAAGTAAATCCAGAAAAGCGCATCTGACGCGCCAAATTTATAGAGTTATATTGTTTTTCATTAATAGTTGATAAAGATAGACAACATCAATAACTTATACAAGCCCTTTAAGTCAGATGACCATACAATTGCATACCTTTTTTGTTAAACAAAAAAATAAAGGTAGTGTTGGAGTAGAAATTACATTGTAACAGCCAACTGATTCACTGGTTCATATAAAGTACATATTTATTCAAAACTACCTAACGTATTCCGACTGAAATGACAGTATTTTAATTTGATGGTTGTGCATTGTCTAATATTAAGAATACTTGTACTGTGACTGTGTGTTTTTTTTTTATTGTTTAAACAAACTATTATTTTTAAAGTAAAATGTGCACGAGGATACACTCACGGATAAGTAGTTTACTGACAAAAATGGGAACATTCTTCTAAGAACAAACTCTTCAAAGGTATTCTTGTTTTTTCTTAATAATATTATTATAATCATTATCATTTTTATTATTTTTAATAATAATTTGAAAAACCTACAGGGGTATATTAATGATTTCTTTTGAAATATCGTATAAAACAAAATTTTTCAAGGACATAATAACAAATTCAGAAGTTTTGCATGTTAGTTTTTTCAGACCTAAAAGCGATTCCAAATAAGGGTCTCTTCATTTTCATTACAAATAATAAATATAAAAGAGTGACGAAATAGTTATATTCATGGTCTGCTTTCGTTTTCAGTTTTGCAATGAAATATTGCAAAGATTTTGGGATAAAAACACTCACATACCTACAACCACACAATTAAATGAGAATTGTTCATAATAAATGTAATAGATAATCACTGACGCCTGAGCTGATGTCCAATAGACAACTCAATGTCAACGTTTTTAGTGGGGTTCGTGTCGCTCAGTCTTTAGTTTTCTATGTTGTGTTTTTTGTATCGTTGTTTGTCTTTTCGTCGTTATTGGGTTTTTGCCATGGTATTGTCAGTTTGTTTTCGCCTGATGAGTTTGAATATCCCTTTGGTATCTTCCGTCTGTCTTTTAGTTAATGCAATTATACCGAACAAACATTTACTGATTTCGAAGTAAAAAAAATTAAAACAACTCTTCTTGCGTCCGAAGTACGTTTCTAAATTCATCTTCATCAAGAAAACTCAAAGCTGAATATTTGAAAGCCAAGGATGTATAAAAGAGCGACGAAAGAAACCACATGGATATTCAAACTCATAAGTCGAAAATAAAACATCAGTACGTAACACACAACATAGAAAACTAAAGATTAAGCAACACAAACCCCACCAAAAACTGGGGGTGATATCGATCTAGGAATTGACAGATGGAAAGCTATATGACCAAAAAGCACCTGAACATAATAGCCAAATCCATCCAAGGTCAACTTTGCCTGAGGTAGTTGAAAGTTATGATTCATGGCTTTTTATACTTTTTAATATTTCAAGAAACTATAAGTGTTAATTTCATTTTTTACTTGTACCGAGTCGTTACCAATGCTGATGAACTGTTAGTCCTTCAGGATTTCATCAACTCAATAGTCAATGCTTCAGTACTAATATAATTTATAACAAACTTTTCTTAAATTTTCCATTGATATCAAAATTTAGAAATTATTAAAAAGACTTACATTCCAAATCCCTCAGACAAAGTATACCTTAGATGAATTTGCCAATTCTTCTGAGTTCCCTCTTAGTCATATCAGTCTTTTCGTGTTTATTTTGATACGTTCTTGGTATTAGAATGTTTGGGTTTGATCGTTCATGATGAAGATAAATCAAGACAACCGCTTCGAATGCACAAAAAAGAGTTGATTTGGTAAAACTATGTATATGAGAACTCAATTACTCCATCATTGGAATAACAAAGAATATTTTCAGTTACGTACAAGCACAGAAGATTAAACCAGTTAATATGATAAATTAAATTGAATCAACCACAAAGGCTATTAAAAATATAATTGAATGGTCGGTGTTAATGTAAGCGAGCTCAATATATTTTTAACGTTGATTATGAAATCATATCTTCTTAAACAAATGTTCAGATATGGTATATTTCTTAGGATAATACTTCATCTGTGACAATCAAGAGTCAAAAACAGTTCAATCTGTACAGAAGAAAACGCACAATTTCTACTTCTACTTTTCTAATCTTCATTTTGTATCTTCGCTTTAAAGAATCTATTCAAAGCAAAACTGCTTGCATATGTACTTCTTTTTCTTTTTTTGGCCATAATACAGAGGGAGTAACATATGGTTTCATATACTCCCAGAGTAAACAATACCAATAGTTGACTGGAGTATAGAAATATGGCCACCTCAATTTCTCACACCTGTAGTAAAACCATGTTCGAGCGAGGTGTCCGTTTGGGATGTTTTTATACCCTCGTTCGGTCAAAATGATCACTTTAAGTCTGATACATGAAATAGGAATAGTGCCACGATGTCTGCATGTTATAGAAACGATTCAACTACACTTTGATGGGTACGTTGGTTGCCTGTTGCAAAGCAAAGTTTGGTTCTTATCTTACATACTCTACTTTTTCATTGGCAGACTAAAATGCCCGCCATTCGTCCAATTCACTCATCATTTTAGAGCCTACCGTATTGGATTATAGTGTTAATAAATTTTCGTCTTAAATATGAATCAATCTAACATGTAGAACATCAACTATTATTCAGCATATTTTTAGGCCGGAAGTTGTTAAATTGTCTTTTTATACTGATGTTTCAATAATATAAGTTCAGTTACTTGGATACAATTTATTGGAAGAGGAGGTACCTCCATGTTTCTCTAATAACGTCTAATAGAATTTGCTCACTTGACTGGAAATTATCTTTGATACAATTTAATTAAGAAATTGGTACAAATTAGCCTTAACTACTCGGAAACTAATTAATTAAATACGTAAGGTGATGGGTTACTTGTATTCTTCAATATCTACATCCTACAGGATGGGGGTGCGATGAGATTATTATCCGGACCAATATGTATCGTATTTAAGTAAACCGCACATTTCCTGGAGACTTGATCAACTGATTTTTATAGGATGTCTGTTCTCACACTTTGTTGAGTATGTCATTTCAAAGTTTTGTCTCGTATCCAAATATCAAATTAAATAATATCATCAAAGATACCGGGATTACAATTTGTTACGTCTGACGCGCGTTTCGTCTGCATAAGACTTATCAGTGGCACATACATCCATAACCCTTTGAATAGATTGACGGTCTCATGCCTTATGAAGATAGAAAAAACGGAATAGTTTGAATGTCGCTGGACCTACTAGACTTTCAAATGAATAAAATTTAATTCGATTCGTGTGCTGCCTAAAATCCTCATTTTGGTTAAAAAGCAAGTCATGAGGAAATTTACGAGAAAAAAGCTCTGATTTCTGATATATTCCTTGAACTCGGTATGTTACCATTAAAATATAACATATTTTAACATACTAACATACTACATATATGTTATAAGAAACATTGTTTGAAATAAAACAATAAATACTTTGGTAATTTTATCAAAAGAATATTTTTGATAAAATCAACAATGGGTTTACTTGGTTTCCTTGTTAATCAAACCTCCTCGATTTTATCGGTTGCCAAGCCTACGGCCAAATGAAGCTAAATATAAATACAACAAAGAAGGATGCAAAGGTCAAAATAAATTGTAAGACAATTATCATGCATTCAAATTGAACAGAAAAGTTGGAAACTAGCATTACCGAAAAAGGGCACACACTTCATTTAACTCGTTTTATTTTTGCATAAGAATCAAAATATTATATCATTAATTGCAAACAATATTATATAGTTTAGAATTAATAAAAATATATAGCAGCAGTTGTGTAAAATTAATAATTTTGTTAAGCAATTAATCACCATAGTTCGTCAACATTCAGCTACTGACATTAAAAAGTAGTTCGAAATTGGAATTAGATACACCGAACTTGTCAGGAATTACGGTTGTACCATTGCCATTCGAGTAACCAGATCTTAAGGTCTTCTTTCATATCCCTTGTTACTCTGGTTACTCTGGGCATACGCAAATTGCAATTGGCATCACTTAATCGATGACAAAAGACTCGACGTGGGAAAATCACTTTACATGCATGCCAAGGTTGACTCTTTAAATATCTAAGCAAGATAAAAATTTGTTTTTTTTAATTTTGAATTGGCGTTGTGTTACATTATGACCGATCCTCCAAATTATAGAATTCTTGACACTGTGTAATTAGTGGTTACTACTATTTCCCTTTGAAAGTTCTATTTCAAAAGAGAGACGAAAGATATCAAAGGGATATTCAAACTCATAAGTCGAAAACATACTGACAATGCCATGTCAAAAAAAAAAACGAAAAACGACAAAAAAAAAACAACAGTACACAAAACACAACATAGAAAAATAAAGACTGAGCTACACGAACCCGACCAAAAATCATCCCAGGTGCTCCGGAAATGTAAGCAGATCCTGCTCCATGTGTGGCACACGTCGTGTTGCTCATTTAAGTACAACATCGTTGAAAAGTCTAATTCTGTAGGTCACATTCACGGGATTGTGGTAACGTCAATTGGAAAATGTCCGTCGTCATTTGTGAAACCGATATTCCATAGCGGTCAACCAACTCGTGATGGTGTCCGTAAAATTTCGACGGGATGATTTCAACTTCACCACTTGGAAATCTTGGTTTAATAGATTCCTTGTAAGCATCAAACTTCTATCAAGGAACTTATGATAGGAAATACAGGCTCTGCAATATCGTATCAACTGGGAGATATATACACCATATACAGGCACTGCTGGATTGTTGCTTCATATAAATTGGAAGTTCACTATTGGGAAGCTGAAATCATATATTTTAATAGCTTTTTTTAATCTACATTGGTCATCATATTCAACCTAGCTATCAAAGGTACCTCTTAAGGCTTTTATTCTGACTTGTTGCGTGTATTTGAAGGACTAAAAACCATTGTTAAACTATTTTTCTAACATTACACTACCGTAAATCATAAAGGCTAAGGTCCATATATATATATAAATATATACTTTCAATGGGACTTCTCTTTTGATTAACTATGGACTAAACAACACTTTTCACTGCCAGTTCACCCTCTAAATTGGATCGTTAACAAGGTCCACAGTAGATTTGTAGTGTATATTCAGGTCTATGAACTCACCATTCCATATTTTCTTTAATATTGACCTGAATGTAAGATTAAATAGGCTTGAAAACACTTGAAACATATAGGCAATTGGTCCATTTGTAAATGAGCATCGAAAGGACTAGAAAAAGCTCCAAACCCTTGTGAATCAAATTGTGTTGACAAATTAAAAAAAAACAAGATTTTGTTGGAAGGTATCTGCAAACTGCTACTACCAGATTGAAGAATCACTGGATCAGAGATAACCTTTTAACTTTGAAGGATGTTTTCCTGAATGAGTTGTGGTCTGTCTTGCTGACTTCCCGATGCTGTATCGGTTGCTTTTCCGACGTTTGTTGTATTACTTGGTTTGAATCGTGCTGGTTTGTGATTTGATTGGGGATCCTGTGTAAGATCTCCTGTTGATTAGGGTCTGTCGTAAATTAAGGCAACAGTAGTATACCGGTGTCCAAAAGTCATAAATCGATTGAAAGAAAACAAATCCGGGTTACAAACCAAAATCGAGGGAAACACATCAACTATGAGAGGAAAACAAAGGAACAACAGGAACACCGAAGTGCAACAAAAACAAACGCCAACACACATAGAAACGAACTATTTGATAACAACTGCCATATTCCTGACTTGGTACAGGACATTTTAAGACAAAATGGTAATACTGATCACCGGTCTATGTGTCACTGATAAATTCGGGACTATCACTGTCATGTATACTGATACTGCAGTGTTTTGAGTTTTGAGTCTTCGTACATCAATGGCCGTTGATGGTATACGTGATCCTCGTGATGATTGCAACTGATCAAGTCGTCTCGATTTGCTGTTTTGGGGGATTTCTTAGCTGTTCTTGGCTTCTGAAATTTCTTTATTGAAGGATTACGATGTCTTTTCGGAAGTTTCATATTTTAGTTAAAAACGGATGGCGTAAATTTTTGACGATTTTTTATATTTTCAACTGATCAAAAAAGGAAGCCAGATCAATACAAGGGTAAAGTGTCACGTGATTATAGCAAGGGGGACCAGATCCAAATGATGCAAGTTACATTTACGCAAAAATATATCAAATCTATTTCATTAAATAGGTTTATCTGATAAACGAGATTATCCGCATTATATTCTGAAATGATGTAATAAATAAGTCACATTTAATTACGCTCTTCAACCATAGTGGTGTCTTCAACAATACCAAAGTAAGAGGTGGGTCTGAGTAAACTTAGTGAAAATATCAATCATTGTTTTGAAGATAAGTTATTTCCTTCTTGTACATTTCTTCATATCATTAATAGCTTAAATGTTGGGATAGTATATTGAGATATTGCAAGGTATATAGTTTAAATTTAACTATGTTAAACTGTTGTGCGTTTGTTTTTTCTACATTGGCTAGAGGTATAGGGGAGGGTTGAGATCTCAAAAAACATGTTTAACCCCGCCGCTTTTTTGCGCCTGTCCCAAGTCAGGAGCCTCTAGCCTTTGTTAGTCTTGTATCATTTTTAATCTTAGTTTCTTGTGTATAATTTGGAGTTTAGTATGACGTCTATTATCACTGAACTAGTATACATATTTGTTTAGAAGCCAGCTGAAGGACGCCTCCGGGTGCGGGAGTTTCTCGCTGCATTGAAGACCCATTGGTGGCCTTCGGCTGTTGTCTGCTCTATGGTCGGGTTGTTGTCTCTTTGACACATTCCCCATTTCCATTCTCAATTTTATTAAAGTGTAGATGCTACAAGAATGTTTTTCCGAAACGTTTTAATATTCTATAATGAAATCAAATTTATAAATTAATGAATAAATATAAATCAATGAATTCAGTTAACGAATTAGAAATCGGAATGTGTCTTATATTATGAATGTTTTCTTTGCCTATCTAGGAGTTACGTTCATCTGTTATTCCCTATTCTTTCCTGATCAATTTATTGCTTTATAAATGTGTAAATAATATCAATTAGTTAATTCACTCTATTTTTCTTCAAACTGACATGTTCAGCTGGATATTTGTCGTGCCTGCATAAGGTAATAGTCTGCAAAATTTCATTCTCGAACACATTATTCTTTTCCAATCTTATCAAATTAATCTATGTTTTTTTTTTGAAGACAGTTTAACTTACGACATGAATAAGTATTTGGAGAAATTGACCAAAGTAGCAGCATGTTGCCACTGGGGATTAGTTATAGTTGTTGCCTATTTTGTATTAACTTTTCTGTCAGTGGGATCAACGAGTGCAATGGGAATATACTATATCTATATAATGGACAAATTTAAAGTTAACCTAACATCAGCAACGGTGATAGGAGCATTGAATACAGCAGTAGGACACTCAGGGGGTACGTAACCTTATATTTAGTGAACTTACAACTTTATTAAGATATTTAGTAGAAGGTTTTTATAAATAACTAACATGACACATACTATACAATGTTATGAAAGAAATCATTCATTTTACACAAAATGTAAGTGAAAATAATCAGAATCGGATTTAAGACCAGGTATATCGACAGGATTACCATCTCCTGTAATGCAATAGTCATCTGAAGCCAAGAATGTCGTATGAATTTGTCCCAAATATTTCTGTCTGTTAAAACTAAAAAGAAAGCAGTCATTGTTGAATTTATTCAAACATTATCTTAACTCAGGGCGATTAAGACTATCATCACATGATTCTGGCACTTATCTATAGTTGAGGAATGTTTGAAAGCAAAAAAATATTTGTAAGAGTAATAGTTGCCGTTTGACAATAACAAAAAAAAACAGGGATTAAAGTTGTTAGGTAGATTAATTGATATCAGATATCTATACGTGGATATGTCAAACGATTGAATGTCTGATTGATCGAAGGATCAGTAGATTGAATGGTAGATTATTTGATATAAAATATCAATACACTAAATCGTCAAACTATCGAATGATCTAAGGATATGTAGATTGAATTGAGATTAATCGATATCAGATATCGATACATGAAAACGTGAAAAGATTAAATTTTTGATTGATGCAAAAATAAGAAGATTACATGATAATATTAGATATCGATATAAAAATAGTCAAACGATTTTAAATGTTAGATTGATTGAAGGAATATCGAATTGAAGATGGATCGATAATAGATATGGATACATGCATACGTCCAATCATCGACTGTTCGATTGGTAAAAAGTAAGGTGGTTTGAATGCTAAATTGATCAATGTTAAACATTGATACATCAATATGTCAAACAATTAAATGTTTGATTGGTCGATTAATAATTAAATTGATCGAAGAATAAGTAGACTGATCGAAGAATAAGTAGACTGATCAAAGAATAAGTAGACTGATAGAAGAATAAGTAAATTGATCGAAAAATAAGTTGATTATTGAATAGTAAGTAGATTGATTGATCATATATCGACACAGAGATGCGTCAAATGATCGAATGTGTGATTTGTCTGCGTGCATATCTAAACGTCCAAACATGTATTAAGAAAACAGTACCGGAAATAAATTCATCACAAGTAATTAAAGGTTTTCCAAATGTGAACGAAAGACGTTGATAACATAAAACCTAGTATTTTTTTTTACAATCTACGTACAATTCGTTTCCTGGACTTTTCTAATTCTTCCTCATACGATTCAAATATAATGCAATTTATGCTAATTATTTGGAAAAATTGTGATTGTAGGACGCTCTCTTTCTCTGCCCTTAAAACGATTACAACCTCAAACGAAGTTCTTTTAACAACGTGAATATTCCCACATCTATTACCATATAATTAGTACAGTAAACTGTGTAACTAAGAGTAATTTCAGTCATGTTTGATCTTTCCCTAAAATATTAAGATTGGTTTCGTGTTGAAACTCATGTTTTCTTTTGAACTGCAATATCACTTGTCTATTCTAGCCATTATTGCAATGCCATTTGTTGAAAAGTTTGGAGAGAGACCTGTTATGATCCTTGGAGGAGTTTTAAATCTAATTGGATACAGTACGTCTATATTTGTGACGTCATTCCCTTTATTATATACAACAATGGGTATAATTCCAGGTAAATATCAAGTGAAGCTGTTTCAAAAAATTCTTTTAACGATGCTTTTTCATGTTTGAAAATAGTTAATTATTAATACAGAAATGGGACTAAAACTTGAAGGACAAAACCATGAAGAAACAAAAATACACTCAAAATCCACACCATAAGGTTGCATTTCAATATTCTTCTATCCATGCATCATCTGCGATATTTCTCAGCAAAAGGTTCGTTCGACAGTTAAAAGATTAGGGGTAATATTTCGTCTAGTCCGTTTGGATTCGTTAAATGGTTGGAAGTTCAGTTTTTTTGTCAAATGGGAATTTCTTGAGGGTTTACTTGATTTGTAAATACACAGTCATACATGTATACAATGAGAAGTATATTAAAATGACTGCATACAAGCATGACATTTGGCGCGCATATATGCAGTACTTTTATTTCCTAGTCACTTATAATGTAATATCCATGTTATCTATGTTATAAGAAATGTGAACAGTTTTTATAATAATATTCAAACAAAATATTAATATGTACACATAGCATTGTTAAGCAAAATCTATAAAAAGTGTAAAATTAAGAGAAGCGTAATGAAGGAGATATTGGGTAAATACAAAATAAACAAAAAAGTATAAGCACAACTAATTGTTTCAAATTTTATATACCTGTTTTGGAGAAAAACAGCATACTAGTACAATGTGTTACATAATTTCGTACAAACTATCAGAAAAGCCTTATTTCTGTTTAACGAAATTTAAACTTTGGTGATGAATCACTTTTTTTTTATAGCTCTATGGATACTGTCATCTGATCAGAGTCTTTCACACTGTTAATGTAAACTATTCAAGCTGGGATCACAAAAACATCCAATTAATTGTGGAATAAATTTTCGATAAGGGTTAAATAGATCGCACAGGTATTTTACTTTTGTGTGAAGAAATCTTGAGCATATTGCCTTTTCTGCTCACGATTTAACCACATTTATAATTTGAGTCATATCATGTCATATGATATATAAAGCCATAGCGTATCGTAAGACAAAATTTCTTAATCTGCTATTATAATTATTTTATACGATATCCATTTGTTTCAACTCAATTATGTCATAAAACTGTCATTACTGTATGAAATTTCTGTCGCCTTTTCAATTGTCAAGTTACTTTCAGGTCTCGGAATCTCATTTTCAAGGGTCAGTATGGTAATTGCAGTTAACAGATATTTCCAAAAAGCTAAAATGCTTTCCGTATCGTTTGGAGTAGTTGGCGCTTCTGTTGGTATGCTATCGTTTCCACTTTTAATAAGGTTCCTTGCAGAGTTATATGGATTGAACGGTGCATTGCTTATTCATGCTGGTTTGAGCTTTAATATAGTAGCTTGTGGGGCAGCAATATTTCCATCTGAAAGAAAACAACTTAACAAAGAAAAGAGTGCAAGTATATAGCTGATTTATAAATAGTAAAAGTGTCGATCTTCGTTTGTAAACAGTTAAGTAAATAATATTTCCGATCGTTTAAAAATGAAGTGGTAAGATGCCAGCAATTCTAGTGCGATTAGAAAGATAGACGAGGCCAATATACAAATCACAGAACTAACTGTTTCATGAAATATAATATGATTGCCCAAAACTATGACACATTCATATCGATATTGAGGTACCGGAAATCTGGTTCATTTAGCATTTATTTCACATTTTTGCTATAGTAGATATAACGGGTCTATTTTCCTTTGATTGAGATCATCAGAAAACGTAGGCAGTGGTTGCTGATTTTACACGATTCTTGTCTATTTATAATTTTCAGTTGTTTTCACATTAAAATGACTTAGGGTGAAATGGTATCTATAGTTCAGTAGGAGCTTTCCAATCATTACATACCTCGTAGTTTATACAGTTTGGTGCATACAAAGCTAATATGTAAAAGTTTTGAGTCAACTTCATGCACTCTTTATTCTAAACGTCTAATACTATATTGCAAAAGTAACACAATATATATCTACTAGAAAAACAGAATCTAGAAGTAGACATTTGAAAATATGTGCATGCGGCGTTAAGTTTGCGATTAATAAGTTATGCGCCAAACTATATTGCAGAATTACAAATCGAAGAATGCTCTCAGTGGAGTGTGGGTTCATTACGGACCTTTTGTCTCTTTAATTAATGAATAAAATAACAAGTGAAGCCAATTCAAAAAGCGAAAGGTTAACATAAATAATAATTATTTAAAGAATTTAGGTTACACATTGTTAATACAGCTGATTCACAAACCACGCCTCTTTTGGGGAGATACCTAATATTCATGGATATTTTATGTTGTTTACCTACTGGTTCCCCGATATAATCTCCATGTTTCATTTCATAGAGACACAACTTGGGGATTTTATCACTTCAAAGACAGTCGGGTAGCGGTCTTCTCGGGAAGACTCAAAGTAAAGGGAAGGGCATTACAGAATTTCAGAACAAATTTATTTAAACTCTTAGAAGTTCGAGGTATATAAATGTTGAAAATATACCACATAACTCTATATGTTTTGACCTTTTCAAAAAAAAAAAAAGTAGTGCATGTGGACTTCCCATTCTAGGATATCATTTTTTACGATACGTCACAGTAAAAGTGGAACAGTTTTAGCCGTAAAAAGAGTCCCTATGGTAAATTACATTATGTATATTTACAAAAGTGCAACCTTTAGATATATCGCCTCTAAAAATATATTAATATAATAAGAACAAGAAGTCAATGCTTCGCAGTGAGATGTAAGCTTTTGTTTCGTTATTCAAGCCTCAATTTGACTTTGAGATGAAAAAAGCTTTATGCTTTGGATTTTGACAAGTTTGTATGGAATTTGATGTCATTAATTTATATCATTTATTTTTCATTATATGTTTTGTGTATAGGAGGAGGATAAACAGAAAGTATGTTGTAATAAAGAGACTGTAGACTTTTCCTTTTGTCTGCAACCACCTTACATAGCTTATATGATTACAAACTTTCTATTTATGGCTGCATTGTATATACCAAGCACTCAGATTCCAAGACATGCTGTGTCAATTGGAATAAGTGTCAAGGATATTTCATTTGCAATAGCAGTTAGTGGAATTGGAAATATGTTTGGCCGAATATCTTTTGGCGTTCTGTCACATTGTTGTGAGAGCCATGTGGTAAAGTTCTGGATAATATGTTTGACTTGCAGTGGGCTGATAATGTTAATGGTACCGTTTTCAACAAAAGTGGAAGAATTTATGATCTTCATGATTATTTATGGATATTTTGAAGGTAAATATATTCATAAGAAGGAACGGTTGTGTGTACAAAATGTTATATTGAAGATTTTAATTTGAGGTTAATTCTTTTTTATCGTAAAGCAAAGACTTAGTAAGAATGTTGTACTGTATAAACTTTCTCTTCAGATATACTTTATTGATAATGATATCTGATATTTTCGATCTCTATATTTTTATCATATGATATACATTTATCAGAGAGAGAGAGAGAGAGAGAGAGAGAGAGAGAGAGAGAGAGAGAGAGAATTTAGCATACATGCTAAATGGAAAGTTGAATCAGTTCGGTCAACTTATGGTTGTAATCTTTAATTAATTGATTCTTTTTCCAAAAGGAGCGTCTAGTGTTGGCTGGAATATTAGTCTTTTTAACCTTATCAAGCTTAAGTACTACGAAAGAGGAATCAGCATAGCTTACTTTGTAGCTGGAATAGGACTTGCAGTAGGAAGTCCTTTTACAGGTAAAATAATAAATCAACTTCGTACTTTATTTGGACTTTTTAACTTCTTTGATTCGAGCGTTACTGATGAGTCTTTTGTAGACAAAACGCGCTTCTGGCGTACAAAATTATAATCGTGGTGTCTATGATAATTTTATGTAATATGTTTGACTTACAACTTCACCCGCGTATGGAGTATACATTTCTCAATTCATACGATATTCAATAGCTGCTACTCAGACTTTGTAAAACGTCATCGATGTCTGAGAAAAAAAAATTATGAGCCAGGGACTTGAAAACGTCTCGTCCTTTTTCTAAAAAGGTTCATCGGAAAATACCAAGACCTAATAGATAAATGGTCTTAAGTTATAGACTCTAGCTGCTGAAATTGTCTTTTTATTCTGTTTAGTTTCCCCTTTATTTGCCTTCGTGCTATTATGTTTTTTTTTGTAGTATGACTTTTGATGTGACTTGGTATTTATGCATCCTGTCATTGGGTTCATTACTTTTTAACTGTAGGCATTCCTGGTGCAGGTGGGTCCTGAGGTGCGATTTGGACACAACGGAGACTTACAGTGTTGTTTCTTATTTGTTTACCCTTGTATATCTATTAACTTATTTCTTTCTTTTTTTTTATCGAGAAAGTGTATACCATGTACGGTATGTACTATCAACGCACAAAGCATTTTTTTTGGAGATGACGTCATTGTCTAAATTACGTAACTGATGAGTCTTTTGTTTACCAGGCGCGCGTCTGGCGTACAAACTTTTGGTTATGGTATATATGATGAATTATTACTATCTATTACACCTTTTTTGTTGGCGTCTTTGTTAGATTAATTTGTATGTTTGTTTGAATTTTTAAGTCAGTTGTGTTGTATGTTTACACAGTTTTGATCCAAATTATTGTCACATTAACCTATTATGTCTATAAATAAGAAGATGTGGTATGAGTGTCAATGAGACAACTATCCATCCAAGTCACAATGTGTAAAAAGTAACCAATTATAGGTCAAAGTACGGGCTTCAACATGTTTGGGTTGCTTACTTATTTTGTCGATATAACGGAACTATAAACAATTGTCATACAAGTGGGAGGTTCAGCTAGCTATAAAATCAGGATTAACCTGCTATTTTTCAAAGAAAATTCCTGTACCAAGTCAGGAATATGGCAGTTGTTTTTCACTTGTTCTGTTGATTTAAAGCGTTTAATTTTGTCAGTTTTTATGGACTTCCCCTTTTCGAATTTTCCTTGGAGTAATTTTGTTATAATTTCTTACACCATTAGTTTAAAATATTTGAATTACGGAAGACAAGATTTTATCACAAAACAGTATTATGATATTTTGGAGGTGTTGCTATTTCACAACTGTAAACAAATGATGTATACATATGGTTCTTCCATGATAAGTTTGTTCCATTTTAATTGTAGGTATATGAAATACAAAATTTATCACCTATTCTTAATGTTTTCATGTTATTTCCAATTTATATTTTTTATAGAAATTAATTTAAATTTTGTTCTCATTTTCTTTTAGCGTTCCTGAGCGAACACTTTGGTTCAAATGGGATATCATACTATATTGGATGTGGAATGTTTGTTTTAGGTGCTTTTATAATGATTCCATTTGCGTCAATATCAGCCAAAACATATAGCGTGTTTCCGCCATCAAAAAAACAAAATGAACCTAACTCATCTGTATATGGGTCATTTTCAAAAAATTAAAATTGCAAAATTGAATAAAAGTTACTAGTTTAAACCACCCTCTTCATAAGCAAATCAGTACAAACAATACTTTTGGAACAATATATTTAAAAAAATGATTTATTTCACTTTCAATATATTGATAATATTCTTGGACTAAATAACACTCTTTAAGTAAGTTTAGTTGCATAACTTCCATTTCTACATATTTACATGTACACACCACTGGCTTACACATGTTTGTGTCATTCCTTGTGCAGGTTAATCCAGAGATTAGCTTCGGACGCACACAATTTTTAAAGTGTTATTTTCATTTACATTTGATTTATCCCTTTGAATATGAAATGCATAATAAAACAAGAAAAAAGAGAGTCTATACATCTAAATAAAGGCAACAGTAGTATACCGCTGTTCAAAAGTCATAAATCAATTGAGAGAAAACAAATCCAGGTTACAAACTAAAACCGAGGGAAATATATCAACTATAAGAGGAAAACAAAGGAACAACAGAAACACTGAAGTGCAACAAAAACAAACGCCAACATACATAGAAACGAACTATTTGATAACAACTGCCATATTCCTGACTTGGTAAAGGACATTTTAAGAAAATATGGTGGGTTGAACCTGGTTTTGTGGTTAGCCAAACCTCCCGCTTATATGGCAATGTCAAAATATATTGTTAAAAATGACAACACTACATGACATAAATACAGCACAAACACACGCAAGAACACTCATCACAGAGAAACGCACAAATAAATAATATAATAGTCGTTACAACATGTAAACCGCAGAATAACAACGAACATCGTGCATTAACGACAGACAGCACAGGACATCACAAACAGTGACGTATTTTTGTAACGAATATATAATCTTAATATACATACAATTATTTTCACAATACTAGTCCAAACAATTATCATGATAATTACGGTATTGGAAAGCCATTTTATAATTATTTGGAAAACAAACGATAAGACATAGCATATTAACCAACCGAAACCATAACAGAAACATCATAAATAAATAAATACATGAATGTTGGATGTATAAATTACCGTGACACGTCGTATAGCAATGCAAATTCACACTCGGCAAAACAGTCATATTCGGGAAAAGGTCACGTTCGGTACTTAGCAGACAGAAGACTTAGATGTTAAACCACAATTTAAGTAGTGGTAAAAATGTCATAAGTTAGCTTAGACCCAGAAACATAGATCAACCAATTCGTGATGGTGTCCATTAAATTTACGGAGTGTCATTTTTAATCTTTCCTCCTCATAACTCTGTTGGAGCAGTTTCTGCGTAAGGAGCACACTCCTGTATATGAAGTCCGTATAGTATTAAAATGCACGAGCATAACGTATCAATTGAGATATGTAAACACCATACGACGGAGCAAAGGGTATGCTACTGCTGAGAAATGGGAAATTGATTATTGGGAAGATGAAATCATCCCGTTTGTCATAGATTTTAGTGTGAAGTCGTCCATCTGTGTCAATATTGAGGAAAAAATCAAGGTATGAAGCAGTCCTTCTTGTATCAGTAGTATCCTCAATTTCAAGTTCACTAGGATATATGAGATGCAAGTTCTGACTGAAATATGGGTTATTCAGTGATAGGACATCATCAATATATCTGAAAGTAAAATCAAAGAATTTTGCAAGGAGCTTTTTCTTTTTGTCTTTTAGAAGGTTCTGAATGAATTCTGCTTCATAGGAGTACACAAACAAGTCGACCAAAAGGGGTGCACAATTAGTACCCATTGGAATACCGACTGTCTGTTGAAATATCAATCCTCCAAACCCAACAAATATATTGTCGATTAAAAAGTCCAGCATTTTGATAATAGCATTTTCAGTGTATTTTCTGATAGAATCAGTGTGATTCTTCACAAAATAAGAATTATTCTTTCGTGAAATTGATGCTGATTGATAACTGAAAGACAGGGATCGCGACAAACACAATGATTATAGTTTTCTTATTGTCACAAGGCAAACTCCTCATTTACATGCAGTTTATAAAACAAGTTGAGGCTCTTTCTGATTTTAGCAATTTGACTAACAAAACTATACTCTTTCCTAAAAATCACGTCCTGCAATATTAAAAGTATATTGATTAATCCATGAAATCACGGACAATATTCGATTCTATTATTGTTTCCAATATTAATAGATCATATAACAATGTTCATGAAAACCACCAGCGCCTAACTACTTTTTTCCACTGCACACCTGTCAGGTTAACGCAGACAACCAAATTAGGATGGTCATTTATCAAATGATATGTATGATATGTTAAAATCACCTTGATTGATGCAATCTAATCATTTGGGTTGAGATTTATGTTTTACGCATTAAGCCTATTTTCCGGAAACATATTATAGGATCTATATAATGATAAAAAATAATATGGAGTAAGCGTCAATGAGACAGCAGCCAACAACACAAATGACAAAGTTTTCTAGAGGTCAACATACTAAGGGTCAGCGTAATGTTTTCAACAATGAGCAAAACTCATACCGTATGGTCAGCTGTAAAAATCACCGAAGTTAAAAAACGGGAAAACAATCGTCCTGATTTTTGACAAAACAATTAAGTAAACGAAAAACAAATATAATAGACAGCGACGAACGACAATCACTGAATTACAGGCTCCTGACATGGGACAAGCACATACAAAATGTTAAACATGTCTGGTAGCTCTCAACCCTTCCCTAACCTGAGACAGTTATATAACAGAACAACATAACTAAAGAATAAACTGTAAAATCCAATTGGAAATGATAAACTGTTCTTGAGCGCTCAACTCTCCCCTAACCGGAAATATAGGTATAACAGTACAACATGAAACAATCTGTAGAAATCAATTGGAAAGGACTTAACCCATCAGATCGATACGACGAAAACCAAAAACCAAACAAAAAGACACAAGGTTCCGATCTAAGTTCGCTCGGATTTAATGTTGTTTCCTTAATGTCCAGCGCCAAAAAGTTGATGCAAACATTACGAGTTACGCATGAGTTACGCTCACATATATTCAAACTATACGGACTCCATTAATCGATGGTTGCTTCTCTCACAAAAAACTGCTTAAACGGACATTAAGTATTAATCACGAATTGGTTGACCGATACGACGTATATGTGCCTCATCACACTAGAAACATATTGTTGTGGTCTTTTGATAATAGGACAGTAGTCTAATCTGTTATTGTGCCGATTATGTACCGATTTTGTTCTATTTTCAATTGTGACATTTTGACTGAGTGTGCATAGTATAAGACAACATGGATGAAAGCATAGCAGAAACTGTGTATTCACAGTCATCTCAATATTCAGAGTGGCAAGATTCACAGGAAAGTCCTACTAGAAAAAGGGAAATAGCACTAAACACATTTCTCGAAACAGTAGATAAGTCCTGTGAAAAAGACTTTTACTGTTGACCTTTGATCTTGCATCAGAGAGGATAAAACAAATGGATATGTCAGGACAGCAAAAGGGATAATGTACAGTGTACTTGGTATATTAGTGTCAAAACAGGAGTCACTATTAGAGGAGGCTTTATACATGTATGAAACAAATGCATGCAAAGATAAGATTCTTGAGTAATTTTCAAAAACATATAGTAGTATGTCAAGTTGTGGAACACAGAGACAAATTCTCTCTCTGCCAGTGAAAGACAGTTATAATCAACTCACAGATTATTTTCCAGATTTATCACAATAAAGAATTTCTGCTGCTTGCATACATGATTGTTGGTATTGGCAAGCCAGAATTAAAAACAATTAAGAGTAAGAAAGGCTATTGTTCAACAGCAGATGTAAGCAATTATAGGCAACCGTATAATAGTCTACTGATACAAATCTTTCAATAATATTCCATCTCTTGTAAAAAGATATCATCGGGTGAAGAACCAATGATAAATTATCGATAAATACTTGCATGCCATTAACTAATAATGCAGGACTGGAAGAAGACAACAATTGTAGCAATGTTTTCACTTTTAACTGTCACATTACCGATTACTTTAAATCAATTGTGAAAGAGGTAATAATCGACTAACAGAAAGTAATGGATTAACTGATGTTGCTTGTTTAACGTTTTGTGGCGATTATTTCATGCATATTTAGACAATACATTGATTGATTGTTGGTTGCTTAAAGTCCAGTGGCAAATATTTTATGCATATTCAGGACAAGAACATATAAACAATAAATACATTAGTATTTTTAATTTTAGTTTCCTTTGTATAATTTGGAGTTTATTATGACGTCCATTATCACTGAACTAGTATACATATTTGTTTAGGGGACAGCTGAAGGACGCCTTCGGGTGCGGGAGTTTCTCGCTGCATTGAAGACCCATTGGTGGCCTTCGGCTGTTGTCTGCTCTATGGTCAGGTTGTTGTCTCTTTGACACATTCCCCATTTCCATTCTCAATTTTATTAGGTTTCGGATTTAACATTCCCATTCTAACCGGACATGGCAGCGTACTTTTACATCCCGCACAGCCAAACGGACGCCCAACTTTGGCAAGGATTAAACTGTCTGTCGGAATACGAAATAGACTGCAATTGACCATTTTTCTGTTTTCCATTCACTCTTGGAGGTAGAACAATAGATGGAAGAGTAAAAGGAGTATACGTCAATAAAAGAACAATAACCTCTAAGGTTAACTTTGCGTGAGGGAACTGGATCTTTTTTTCATGAAAAGTTTATAAAATGTTATTCGGATACGAATATCGAATGTCGTTCAATACGTTTGGTATTGATACAGCAAGCTTTATTCAATGCATTTTGAAACGTATTTTATGAAATGGATTTTACAAATTAACTTTAAATTTTATAACTGGTATTCTTTATTCTAATCAAAGATTAACTTTTATAACTGGTATTCTTTATCTTAATCAAAGATTAACTTTTATTACTGTTATTCTTTATCTTAATCAAAGATTAACTTTTATAACTGGTTTTCTTTATTTTAATCAAAGATTTGTTTTAATTTTTGTTTGTATTATTATTCTTTTACGGAAGCGAACTTTTTTCAAAGTCAATATTTGGTCATCTAAAATCTTAAAATTTCTTTACTTCCGGTGTAAACA